CTGCATGTCTTTGGACGGTGGGAGGAAGCCGGAGTACCCGGAGGGAACCCACGCAAACACGGGGAGAACATGCAAACTCCACACAGAAAGACCCCGGCCTGATGGTGGAATTGAACTCAGGACCTTCTTGCTGTGCGGCAACAGTGCTAACCACCGTGCCACCGTGCTTTCCCCCAAAGTCTGTAGCATATATAGTAATACATGTAAAAAAAAAAAGAAAAAAGAAAAAGAAAAACAAAACTATAGGCAGAGCTTTAATAACAAATCCAACTTCTACAACGCATTAGGAAATCATAACTAAAAGTAAAGTATTTCGGATCAATCATCCCGTTATCATCAAAAGAACAAGACTGTACATTTCTAGGTGTGTGCGCACAGTTACAGCACACAGTGGGGCGTCATACACAGCACATGCTAATGATAGGTACACGTGAACTTTATCTTTGCCGCTACTATACTGCTATGAAACCGTAAAAACAACGTTAATTGTGCGTTAAATGTATTTAAAGTAAAAGAGACAGAGGTCGTTGTGTTGTCTGTGCTCAGTCTACTGGGGAATCCCCGCTGCTGCGTCTTTCTTTACATTTCAGCTCAAATTAATGCTCTGGAGGCCGTTTTACTTACTGCTATGCTTCTCTCAAACAACTTTAAGCACCTTTCGGATATTTAACGCGTTTATCTTCTGAAAAGTTTCGAACGCCAGATGTTCCCTCTGAGCACCACGGCTGATTTACTTTCATTTTCCACTGTGAGTCCAAGCTTCAGCGTTTGGTTTTCTTACCTCAGTAAGTGAATCTCTCTGAAGACATTAAAACACTTCAAGACAGCGATCCATGCAGTCCCAGCATGGATCAATGTTAATGATCGCTATTGATGATCCTATGATAGGCAGCGCAGCCGTAGCAGCAGGAGAAGGAAACGTTAATGCAGGAAGTGATTCAACAACCTGCTGCTGCCCGATGCTATAGGCCTATTGCAGCTCACACGAGGTAAGAAAAATCGTTTCATTCAAACTGTAATGAAAGGCAAGTTACAAGATTAATATCAACCACTGTTGGAAGAAGTACTCAGAACATTTACTCAGATTAAAATCCAGTAATCTAGATTGATATGCTACATCACTCCAACGAAATACAGCGTACATAATGAAGTTGCAGTGCAACTCTAAGGGCTCTTCTCTTGAATCTGTCTGCTGTTACCGTAGGCTACTTTTTTTTTAACTGTTTAGTGAGATTTTTGTACATTTTTACGCTGGTGACACAGAACTATACCTGCCACTTACACCATTTGAACCTGGTATGTTGGCTGTCTTTGTGAAATTCAGAATTGAATATCAAATAATTTCCTCCGGCTAAATTTCACCTCAGCGGCTTGATTTTTTCATTAGAGCAAAGAGATCGGATCACAGTGCTCTCATGTTGGCACCTTTACGCTGACTCCCAGTGTATTTTATAATTTACTTTAATATTTTATTGGTTATTTTTAAGTACCTGCTCATAGCGACATCCGGAACCTGTTGTTACCCAGTACTAGTAGAGATCTTGCAGACTCTGAAGGAAATCAGGTCGGCGGAACCCCGACTTAAAACACACCTTTAAGTCAAGAAGTTTAATATAAGGCCCTCTCTGACTTTTTAATTAGTTTTGAATTGTCTTTTTATTTCTTGCGTTTATTACTTTTGCTTTAATCTGTTGTCTCTGTAAATGTCTTTGCAACATTGCAAAAGTGCTAAATAAATAAAGCGTTATTATTTTACTAGTCTTATTATTATTAATACTAACAAGAAGAAGAAGAAGATGAATAAAACCAGTCATGGTACAAATATATTTTTTTAATGACATTGGCAAATGGCCTCAGAAGGACATGTCAGGAGCTTCATGTTAACATCAATATTTTTTACCATACTGAAACTCAAAGGACTCTATGATTCTGGTTACATTGAATGCTGTGATTCCAAAAAGCATTAAGAGCACTTGCACAATGAGTTGTTTTTTTTTAAACACCAAGTCCAAAGTGGTAGCACCAGGAAGAAAGGGAATAAATAGCAGACACTCAAATGGCTTACTTTTACTTACCCAATAAAATCTAAACATAATGGGGAAAAAAACAACAACAATAGAACAATTAAAGGAAAACTTTTACTTTGACTGATGGAGATGTTTCTACAAATGTAAAAGATGTTGATGTGAAAATTTTGTTTAGTGTTTTCAAAAAGCATTAAATTAACTACATGACCAAGTGTAAGTGTACAGCAGGATTTATCAGTATTATTGAACAAGTTACTAACAGTCCACTGGATGCACACTAGGTTACAAATTATTCAAGAATATACTGAACTTTACACATTGTTGTCTTGTGCAGAATAACAAGGCCTGTCAGAAAGATTATGTACCACTGATATCATGAGTACATCGTTATGCTAAATAACATGTCAGAAACTATACTCAACCATTTCCTATGTGCAAACTCAAAGTGGTACTGTTGTGCTGAGCAACATATTTCATCGTGGATATTTTCCCACCTGCTACCCCTAAACTGGATAAATCCTCTGCTGAAAAATTGTTCTTAATTAATAGTTCTCTGTTTTCTCCCATTTATTTGCTAAAAGCTGCAGTAACTCTGCTAAAAGTACAGATTTGTAAGTGGTATTTGCCGGTGACATTGAGGAAAAGAACGTAAGTCACCAGAGTTTAACACAAAACTATTAGTTTATAGCCCTGCTGGAACCCCCAGAGGCCACAGTTTTATTAGAGCTACAATAGGAACAGCGTCTTGTTGCCCCCCACCCCATCCAAAAAACGAAAACAAACAAATAAGTTAATTAATTAATTAATTGATTAAAAAAAATGTCCTGAGGTATAATGAGTGGGAAATGACATACAGTAATCAGAAATCTGAAAATAACCTAACAGTGAAACTTGAACTTCAAAGGGAACACAAGGACTGTTTTAGTACTGGTACAAAGACTGTAAACACTGGTGGATATATTTGTATATGGCAACGTAGACAGTGTTCCAATGTAAGAGGCCCACCCTAGAACTCACAAGAGCCAAAGGATTCAGAGAAGTTGAAGGATGCTTGTTTCTTAAGCCAATCCTAAGCAGATGTTTTTCTGAGTATGAGTTCTGCTGGAGGAAGCTGCACCAAGAAATACCGTTGCCATAGGATGATGGGCTTAGTCTGACATAGATACAAGTACATGGGCAGTACCTGTCAAAGAAAAACGCACAGCCCACAGTTTTACCAAAAGAGTAATGCAGTGTAATAAGAGGATGATTATTTATTTAATCTGTTAATGGTTTTACTAATAATGCCGGACTAGTGTACTTACACTAACTTAAGCATTTATTTATTTGCAGGCCAACAGTCAGTTCTACTTTGGACTTTTGCAGTACACAACAATTTAAAATAAAGTCATTTACTCAAGATGCTGGCCTAATTTACTGCGGTAGAGCTGGTCACCTACTAATTGGAATGTTGGTGGTTCCGGTCTCGTATGTCAAATATCCTTGGGCGAGATACTAAACCCAAGTTGCTCTCCAGTGCATCCATCGATGTGTGAATGTTAGATAGAAGAACTTACATAGAAAGAGAATAGAAAAAAAAAGTGCTTGGGTGAATCAAGGAAGTTGTGTAAAGCGCTCAGAGTAGAAAAGCACTCGATAAGAACCACTCAATTTACCATTTATGAAGGGCCAGCTATTATCTCAAGGAGCAACTAAGCTTGAGCCACTATAAAGTCAAAATCCCTGCAAAACAAATGAAAAATATAGCCCAATAACACACTAAATTAAGATACATGGTAGCTACAAGGTAAACCAATTAAATATTGTCAATGTGAACATCTTAGCATGCTGTCATTGCAGAGCTCCTGAGAGTGACCACTTCTTTCACAATTGTTTGCAGAAGCAGTCTGCATGCTTAGGTATTTGCTTTTATACACCCGTGGAACCCCTTAACTCAATGCGTTGGATGGGTGACGGAATAATTTTGGAAATGTGTAGTGTAGCTCAAAGCTTCGCCCAAATACAGCCTCACTGAGCTGCTAACATGACTCTTAATTGTCTTATATCAACAAGTCGATTTCTATAGATGACTAACTTCTGCCATGCTGAATTTTTGCTGCTAATTTAAGTTGTGTCCAAGGAAAATAAAGGGCTGAAAACAAAAGGATAGAGGGTTGAATCCTTTGGCATACCACATTTTCTATTAGGGTGATGATGACAAAGCTCTCATTTAATAATCAACACACTTTGTTACATGCATTTGACTTTCAAGCCAAAGACTCCAAAAGTGTTTGTTTGTTTCAAAACAAAAACTTTAAAACCTACCCTTCAACCAGTATGTGTAGTAGACATGAAACTACATGTACTGGTTGAAAGACAAATATGAACCCAGCACACAATATTAAAGACTAAAAACTTAAGTTCATATTTTGTACAAATGTGTTGCCTGTCCATTCATATAAAAAAGAAATTACACCTCCTTTCAGTTCTATGGTTTTATGTATTGGGAAATAATCCTGTCATTAGGAGATCTAAAAGGTTGGTCTAAAAATGTGATAAATATAACCGTAGATGAACAACAACACATGACAAACGCCTCATATACTAACACCTCATACCAGCTATGAAGCCCATTCCTATACACAGGGGTGCACATCAGTGGTCCGCAGGTGCATATGCGCTGTCAAAATAAAAAACGTGCACCAGATAAGAAGTTGTCCGAGTGGGATTTTCACGGCATATTCTGTGCGTTCATCATTTGTGTGAAGCCAGCTCACCTCCTGCAACCGCTTTTCCGAGAATACGCGCTTCTTTTACGGTTCGGACTCCTGACATTTCTTTGGAGGTGGAGGAACACCAAAGTAATTGCTTAAAGGAGCTTCTTCGACTTCTTTAAGAGTTCTAAACAATTGTCTGTTCTCCTCCAGAAAATCTTATGTACGCAAACGCGCGTTGCAACTTCTTATCTGGTGCGTGTTTTTTATTTTGACAGCGCATACGCACCTGCGGACCACTTATGTGCACCCCTGCCTATACAACGCCACTCAGAAGTTTGGACACACTTTCACATTTTATGGTTTTTCTTTATTTTACTACTTTCTACATTTTAGATACATACTGAAGACATCAAATATATGAAGCAAAATCTATGGAATTATGCACCAAAGAAAAAAATGAGAATAACTCCTAATATGTCTTATATTTTAGCTTCCACCCTTTACTTTGTTGACAGCACTGCAAACCTTTGGCCTTCTCTCAATGAGCTTCAAGATGTATTCACCTGAAATGGTTTCACTTCACAGGTGGGCCTTGTCAGGATTCATTTGTGGAATTTCTTGCCTTCTTAATGGAGTTGGGACCATCAGTTGTGTTGTGCAGAAGTCAGGTTGGTACATAGCTGATAGTCCTATTTGACAACTGGTAGAATTCACATTATGGCAAAGAACCAAGCAGCTAAGTAAAGAGACATGACAGTCTATCATTACTTTAAGAACTGATGGAGAAGCATGGAGGTTGAGGTGTGATTGTTTGCGGGTGCTTTGTTGGTGACACTGTTAGGGATTTTTGCAAAATTGCAGGCACACTGAACCAGCATGGCTCCACACCATCCTACAGCAACATGCCATCCCTTCCAAACACATCTTCAGGATGTGTGAGGGCTATTTGACCAAGAAGGAGAGTGGTGGAGCGTTGGCCTCCACAGTCACCTCACCTAAACCCAGTCGACATGGCTTGGGATAAGATGGACCGCTGAGTAAAGGCAAAAGGGCCACCAAGTGTTCAGTATCGCTGCAAGCTCCTTCAGAGTGTTGGAAAACCATTTCAGGTGACAACCTCATGAAACTAATCGAGAGAATGCTAAGAGTGCCAAGGGTGGCTATTTTGAAGAATCTAAATTCTAAAACATGTTTTGAGTTATTTCACACTTTTTTGCTTACTACATATATATTCTATATGTGTTCCTTCAAAGTTTTGATGCCTTCATTGAGAACCTACAATGTAAGTAGTCATGAAAATAAAGAAAAAACAATTAAATGAGAAGGTGTGTCCAAACCTTTGAAGGTAGTGTATGTCATGTGTAACTGTAAAATGTTGTTGTTCATCTAATGTTTTATTGAAATCATTTTAGAGCCACATGAAGGTCTAGATGATTTTTTTTATTATATCGTGACTGGGGTTGTTATTAAATTTAAGTATCATGACAGCCCTTCTCCCAATACTTAAAACCTAAGAATTGAAGGAGATTGCACTTTCTTTTTCACCTGACTGTCTATCACTATGTCATAAAAGAACTGGTTATTAGCAGTAGCAATGAAAGTCACTGTTAACATTTTGAGGGATATGCAGATATTCCCACAGGACCTGAATGCAGCAGTCTTTCAGACAGCTTTAGGTTAAGACTTAGACATTTCTTAAACAAAAATAGTGTGTATTTGTTAGTGGATAGAGGAAGATGAGGTTGTGTCCGACTGGTGGACAGTCAGGCTGGAGCACTGCTGGGCAGAGCTTAGACCTGACCCTGCAGGGTTTCCACTGAGGGTCAAGGGACCAGAAGGTCGGGGGTTAAGGCGGGGTGGCATTGGGGAGGGACGGATGAGAGGCGGGGGCTGCTGCAGCGTGGATCGGGGCTGCAAGAAGCGGGCTTGCTGTTGGAGTGGTGGAGGCTGACGGTGCAGAGAAGGTGTGGCAGGGAGGGAGGGGCGCAGAAGGGGAGGGGGTTGGTGAAGGGAAGAGGAGGAGGTACTAGATATCATTGGAGTCTGAGCTGAAGATGATGAAGAGGCAGCAGGGGATGCACCTAATGAAGTGACTTGACCCTGCATAGAACAAAAATGAGTTACTTACACAAGTCAAGCAGATAATCCTGCTCTGGAAGTTAGTTCCAAGATAATTTACATAACATTAGAGAATGAAAAACCACTAACTTCTAGGAATGGTTAAATTCAAGATAACTGGACTTCAAACTGGATAACTGTGTCTTCAAACATCTACTAACACCACCCAGTATGATTTCAATAATAATCAAGACTAAATTCACGAAGCCTCACCTCATCATCCTCTTCATCTGTGCTCTTTCCTGATGGAGTGTTTGAGCTGTTCTTTCCCTCCTCTCCCAAAGTGGCACTGTCTCCGTTGGGAGCTTTGGTTCCCTGCTCCGCTTCCCACTCCTGCAGGACCTCTTCCAGGTTGAATCGCCGCCTGTAGTTCACAAAAAAGTTCTTCACCTGCCCTACCGTTTTATTACCGATTACGTCTGCGATGGCTTGGAAGTCTTTTCCATACTTCCTGACACCTGTACAACAACACAGATGGATTTTTAAAGTTACACAAATATATGCAATGAAAAAATCATAAATGGATGAGAGCACCATTTAGCAGTCATTACAGTTTAGAGGTATGTTTTTGTACATAAAGTAAAAATGTAGTCACTTTTAGCTCTGGTGTTCACCTCTGGCTCCTTTTTTAAATGCTCCTCTATTTTCACCAGTTAGGCTCTAACTGTGATAATCTGTTATCATCATCATCATCATCATCATCATCATCATCATCATCATCGTTTATTTGTATAGCACTTTAAGAACACACCAGGCAGACCAAAGTGCTGAACAACACAGATCAAAACAACTACCAAATTAAAAATACCATAAAATCATTACATACAATAAAATAAATAAGAAGGTGTCAGTTTCCTACAGAGTTAAAAGCCAGGGAATAAAAATAGGTTTTCAATCTGGACTTAAAGACCTGCACTGATGACGCTTGTCTAATTTGGAGGGGAAGGTGCACCCCAACAGAGCACTTCATTGTTTCACAGCAGGCTTACTGGTGGTTCCTAGGATATTTAAAAAGTAGAATGGGAGACAGAGCGGTCAGCTTTCAGCCAATCTTCTGTGGAACCAGCACCTAGTTTGTATTCAGGAGACAGACACCCTTGCTACTTTACAATTAGGCTTCAAATTTTTCTTTTTGACAAAACTCCCTCCCCTCAACCCCAACCTGCCATGGCAGATGGCTACCCCTCCCTGAGCCCGGTTCTGCTGGAGGTGTGTTCCTTGTTAAAAGAGAGTTTTTCCTTTCCACTGCCGCCAAGTGCTCGCTTAACACGAGGTTGTCTGATTAATGGGGTTGTCTCATTGTTTACCCTAAAAGTAATGTAAGGTTAACCCTACAATATAAACCATCTTGAGTTGACTATTGTTGTAATTTGGTATAAAATATATATTTAAAAAAAAAAAAAAAAAAAAAAAAATATATATATATATATATATATATATATATATATATATATATAAAATATATACCGTAAATAAGAGTGAATTTAAAATGTAATCTACTTCTTGGTGCTGAAAAGTTGTTCACAGTGGATTTTTAAAGTTTATTCTTTGAAAACAACTGGCTGCTGTGGTCAAAAATGGCTGTAAGAGTGAGAACCAGCCCATATAAAAGCCAAGAAGTTCTTTTTCATGTATGCCATTTGGTGGATTTTACTTTTAAAACCTGTAAGCAGCTGCTTTTTCTACATGGAGGTTACCTTGAACAGCCAGGAGTTGCTCATCTGTTGTCCAGCGGGCATTCACCTTCTGGTTACACTACAATATTGAATAGTAAAGTTAAAACACACGACAAACTAAAAGATATAAAAACATTTCTACTTTCCACAACAGGGATCCTCATTTACATATATACTTTATCAGAACATAACTTTATCATAGCAGAAAACTCATTACCATAAATGGCTTCAACTGACGAGTTTCATGCAATTTAATCATCATAATATCAGTCATCTTCAGTGTATTTGTACCTCAGGTAGTCTGAAGTCTTCGATCCCAGACTCCAACATGTGTTTCAGTCCACTGTTCATCTGTTTGGCATTCTGGACCTGAAGAATAGACGAGAAAGTCAAAGGTGAGAATTAACAAAACTCCCAGAAAACCCTTTAAAACCTGAAGCTGTTTTCAGATGTCTCACTGGGATTGGCCATTTCCCAGTCGTTTGGATTGGACATTTTTTACCATCTCAGATTCATGGTGCAAAAAATCTGTGATGTCCAATTTCACCCATATCAGAACAGCTGTGGTAACTGTTCAATAAATTTCCACAGAGATGCGGGACCTTTGTCCTGCCTCCTACACATCATACTGAAGAAACACCATCACCTATATCAGACCTGGGCATTGTCTGCTCCTTGTCCAGGCTGTATGAAGTCAGTAGGAAAGTAGGATTCAAATGTAAATAAGTATTTAGCATTTATTTGTCCCATTTCAGCTGCCAAATACTCTTTGATAAACTCTGTCTTTGAAAAAAGTCTATAATAAAGAGAATGCAAAAAACAGAAGAACGTTGAGGAAATATTTATCAAACTTTATTGCTGTCATTCTGAAGGTCACTAGGTTTTTTTTTAGTTGACATACTTCAGTGTGTCCAAACAAATGCAGCTTCTCTACGAATATATTGTAACAGACATTAACGAGGGATGTATGCTAACCTCGATAGAAAAAAAAACAAAATTTGATGCAGAATGTAGAGTTGTATGGTCTAAGAGTATTTAGTAACTGAAGTAAGAGGTAAAGCTGTGTTCTTTGTTTGTGGAGAGCAGTTTGCTGTGTTTGAGAATTATCATTTGAATCACCATTATACAGAGAAATACAAGAACTTGACTGATACAGCGTGGGAATGGATGTGAAGATTTGCTAGCAAAACTGCAAAAGCAACAGGGACTTTTTACCAAGCTTTAGACATTAAGGGATGTAGCAGACATGGTGAGCTTTGCCATAAAGTTTTTGTTTTTTTTGCCATAAAGTTGAATAAAACAGTTAGTAAACAGTTCTCTCATGGTGAGTTTATCAAAAAGTATTTCCTGGACATTGCTGTGCCAATATGACCTGAAAAAAGACGCATTTGAAGACGTTGCAGGAAATCAGGAGCATCAGTTCAAAAACAAACTGGACAATTTTGGCCTTTTCTTCTTGGCAACGGACAAGTGTTGTGATGTTGATGACAAAATGCAGTTATTCATCTTTGTGTGTGGGATAACAAAAGAGTTCGAGATTATGGACGAGCTGGCAGAACGCATTCAATGAAAGAAATCATTCAAAAGGACTAATTTGTTCATGGAGCTAAATGCTTGGATAGGTTTGGGCTGAAATGGGACAAATTTGCAGGTGTTATAACTGACGGGTGGACAAATTGGAAGAATTATTAAAAGTCGGATTATATAGACTTTTTAGGCCAGTGTGACAGAAATGACCACAAAACTGAAATGAATATTTTCTGCAAATAAAGTAATAAAAACAAATAAATAGCCATGGAAATTGTATTTCGGTTGTTTGCTGTCAGAAATGTGTAGAGTTTTTATTTTAATATTTGGAAAGAGGAAACAGGAAGTGCAGAGAACTTTGAGAAAGCATGACTGCACTTTTACAACGTTTTTTTCCTCACTCTTTACAAGTGTAGTAGTTTCATATCTTGTAGTCTATAACCTAATGATACAATTGTATTACTTCTACAGGATGCTTATTTTGTACTCTGCTTTGTTAGTGCTTAACTACACTTACCTGTGGGTTATGTAACAGTCTATTAAGTCTGACAATCTCTTTATATGTCTTTCTAGTTTCACTCCAGTTCACTGATGTCAGTACATTGTGATTGCTGTGTATCATCATTTTTACATGCTGTAGTGCCATTTTTTTAAGCATTTCAAGTTTCCGTACATCAATACAACCGTGAAGACCTCTCTAAATATTTACAGGAAGGGTGATAAATAGCACTTGGATCAAATTTAAGCCCTCCCATTTCAAAATGTAAACTAACACACACATGTATGCGGTACATCCAGCAAAAGTTATTTTGACTATAACCTCAACAGTGTTCTCTTATGTATTTTAAAAACAAAGAATAATGCTGCTAAGCATTCTGTTACTTACCAAGGGGCTACAACTGGAAACCCATTTTATGATTGTCTGTTAGTAGTTCAACATATTCCCACGGTTGCACAGACAAATATTAATGGGTTATTTTGACACAAAGAAAACTTGCGACCAGTGTCTGATGTGAGGAGACAAATTTTTTTTAGGTTTAGTAGTTCAGTAGTCAAGTGGACGAGGGCTACCTGTCTCTTGAGAGACACCAGCTCCATATCCAGCTGACGCAGAAGGGTGTTTGCAGCGGAGGAACTGCAGGAGACGGCCACAACATCCTCCTGGGTCAGGTACATGCCTTTGGGGGGACGACAGCGGGAGCGTTGGTGATGCCGGTGCTGCAGGGTCTGATGCTCCCTACGACCCAAAGCTACCTTAGATCCTGGCACTGGGGGCTCTGCCTGGTTCTGAAGGTAAGAGAATGATTTTAAACATTGATAAAAGTCTAGTTATATGAGGCCTTAAAAATAGCATTGACAACTAACTAAAATGCTGAAGCAGTGAATAAAAATGCGAAATATACGGCATCACTCAATAATCTGTCAGCCTACCTTTAGCAGCAGTAATTTGAAATATAATGAATATATCTTTCATTTGGTTATGGAGGAGTTTTCACCCACTCTTCTTTACAAAATTGCTTCAGTACATTGAGGTTTTCTTTTTATCTTCTCTTCGTATTTATATTTTTCTTGTCTGTATATGCCTATTTAAAAATAGTTTACATAGGTAAAGTTAATGGGAGCAAACTTTCTTGCTTGTGTGCACAAACTTGGCCAAATAAAGTTGATTCTAATTCTGAAAGCTCAGGAGCCGAAACTTCTGCTTTTATAGAAGTGCTCACACTTGCTGATGATCAGTTAATCAACTGAATGTGAATTTGTTAGGTACCTCGCTGCAGCTTACGCTTTTAATTTCTATGTAAGCAATAAGGCTGCACTTAACCTTACCCAGTTCGTTCCTTCATTTTGGCTTAATTGTTTTTAAATAAATAATAACATGGCATAATATGTCATGTTTTGTTGCTCATCCAAGGTTGTATTTACCTGTTTTTTTTTTTCATTATAGCCTGCTACACACAACCTTAGAATTAAACCATTACATTTTCATCAATTGGTTTTTTACAAAAACGTTTCATTATTTATTAAATATGTTCCTTTCAGGAGGTACATCAGTAATGGCCTTAATTTGTCTGTCTGTACATCTGTTGGCAAGCATGGACATTTATTGCTTTTTACTGTTTCTTTAAGGGAAAAATATCAAAGTCCTCAACTTTAAAAATACACTTTGAGACTACTCTCAACTGTCCAAGTCATTATAGAAGTGTCTTAACTCTGCATTTTTCCTACTGCATTCAAGGTTATAAAACAATTACAAAAAGAAGCCCATGTAATAGAAGCCTATGGAAAAATCTACTATGACATATTTGACTTCCATCACTAATTTCAAGCATAACTGAATACAAAATGACATTAATTTTTAAATTACATAATGACATAATAACACCATCATTTTACTGGAAAACAAAAAGCCCAGAATAAAACTAACAACATTACAACAGTCAAAACTTCAAGGAGGCCTAAAAGCACTAAATTTCTGCCAGTACTTCTTAGCCAACCAACTACAATACCTCATCAAATGGATACATTCAACCCATCACTTTCATTCATGGATGGACATCGAACAATCTGATTGTAAAATGGTCAATGGCCTGTAATTGTATAGCGCTTTACAGGGCAGCTGTGGCTCCATTGTAGCCACAGCTGCCCTGGGGTGCACTGACAGAGGTGAGGCTGCCGGACACTGGCGCCACCAGGCCCTTTGAGCACCACCAGTGGGCAATGGGTGAAGTGTCTTGCCCAAGGACACAACGACCGAGACTGTTGGAGCCGGGGCTCGAACCGGCAACTTTCCAATTACAAGACGAACTGCCAACTCTTGAGCCACGATCGCCCTGACACATTAAGTTTTATTAAAGACATATCAATCAAAGATTTACCATTTATAAGCAATACAATCAGACATCACAAGTGCAATAGCTTGGTGGAAGATTAATAAAATAAAAAACACTATATTCTCACCTACAACTCAAACACCCATATGGGATAACCCTGACTTCACTGCAAATAAATTACATTTGTGATAATTTCTTACAACCCTCACTACTAGACAGCAACAACAAAACTGCAAAGTCATTAAAAACACAAAACTAAATAAACTAATATCCAGCATACCACTGGTGGTATGTGAGCTCCCTCTGGTGGTATGCGGGAAGTCTGCCGCAAAATTTTTAAGATGAAATAATATACCATGTTCTGATTTAATTTTTCAGAAATCCCTCAAATATACAGCTCTGCTATCACTTCCGACATAAATGAAGACAGAAAACTAAAAAAGCAGTGACGTTTGTAGGGTTACTGAAGTTGGGCTAGCTGGTATGTAATGATGTGCTACATGGTGGCTAGCTACACAGCTATGGTTAGCTTAATACAAACACATTAACACAGTGAAGCTGGAGAACGAACACTAACTTTTTTCCTTTCGATAAAAGTTAACGCGAGGGTTCCCGATGGTTAGGGACAAATGCAATCGCATGTCGTGATAGTGTAAACGGACCAAACTTCAGTTAGGAGAACAACTGCGATAATCCATCCACATTACGAGGTTAGTTATTATTGTACTGCTGCATGGGCTGGGGTGTAGTTACATCGAAAGGTTTTAAAAACTGAGGTTTAAAATGAACAGTGGTAATAAAAACCGAGAAGGCCAACAGTGATCGCTGCCTTTTTTTAAGGGTTTTTTCTGATTAAATAAAACAAGATACAAAGCATTAAAACATATTAAAAACACAACAGCCTTGATAAACGCAGAGTAGTTTATTCATACCTCATCACTTAAAGAACGGATATCCCACCTGCTGTGAATGTTTTTAATGCAGTACAGTTGTTATTATTATCCCTTGTCACATCCTTTTTATGACAGTTAAAATAAATAACATTCATATAAGAAATAAATTGTCTCGTGTAAATGGTGTTATATAGGCCAATACTACTGGCCTTTAATGTCAGTCATAAGGGTGGTACCATATATTTTATGAGGTGGCACTCATTTTGAAAAGTTTGAGCATCACTTCTCTAATGACAATGCACCACATACTCCAATCAACAAATGGGAAAAAGACCTAAACATCCACGCAGATAATCCATTTTGGAATTTATGGAATTAATTAATTCAAGGAAATTATGTGGGTTACCGTTGCTCCAAGACAGTAACAGTAAATAACTAAACTAATTAAATAATACAATATATTACATTTTACAAATGTAAGAAATAGCACTAATATATACAAATTGCTCCACTGTAAATATCAAGAATAAAACAGATTCCCCTCTGCAAATCGCTACATTTTCGTGGTTAAGGGGTTTGTGTGTCCCAGGAATACCAGGGGCTATGTTGTCTGGGGGCTTTTGTCCCCTGGTAGGGTCTCCCATGGCAAATTGGTCCTGGGTGAGGGACCAGACAAAGAGCGATTCAGAAGACCTCTATGAAAAGACCATCGAGGGAACAGTTCACCCTCCCCGGGATAGGGTTACTCGGGCCCCGCCCTGGAGCCAGGCCCGGGGAGGGTGCTTGAGGGCGAGCGTCTGGTGGCCGGGCACAGCCCAAAAAAGGGACATGGGCCCATCTTCCTGCAGGCCCACCACCCACAGGAGGCACCATAGGGGTCGGATGCAATGTGAGTCGGGTGGCGGCCAGGAGGTGCAGAAATGGGCTTCCTCCGAAGGGTGCCTGGCCTCTCCCTAAGAGATAGGGTGAGGAGTTCAGCCATTCAGGAGGGGCTCAGAGTAGAGCTGCTGCTCCTCCACATCGAAAGGAGCCAGTTCAGGTGGTTCGGGCATCTGACAAGGATTCCCCCTGGGCACCTCCTGGGCGAGGTTTTCCGGGCATGTCCCACCGGGAGGAGGGGGTAGACCCAGGACACGCTGGAGAGATTATAGCTCTCGGCTGGCCTGGGAACGCCTTGGTGTTCACCCGGACAAGCTGGAGGAGGTGGCTGGGGAGAGGGAGGTCTGGGCTTTTCTGCTTGGGCTGCTGCCCCCGCAACCCAGCCCCGGATAAGTGGAAGAAAATGGAAGGATGGATAACAGATATATGGTTGACATTTAACTCTAACCTGTGAACTTGGTCATTTGTTATTTTACAAATGACAATAGAGTCCGCAATAATATTTTTATCATGTCTAACAACACCAACATACAAGTAATACAACACACCTCACACAGCAAAAGATACATGTCATGGGACTGACTGAATCAGAGTTTGCATAAACTGCACAATCAACACCACTAATGACCACCTTCACACATTCTGGCTCTGTCCACCAATACAAAACTTCTGGAAAGAAACAACTACCAAATTATCCCACATCCTTGACCACAACATCCCACAATGCCCCGTTCTCTGTTTGGTGATCTAGAAGAAGTATAAACTCCAAACAGCTCAGAACACCCCCTCTTGTGGCCCTGATTCTCACCAAGAAAACAATCGAAATCAGAATCGGAATCAGAATACACAATGAAATTATCTATAACAATACTGCTCAACTGGAAAAACAGGAAAAAGATCACCACTGCCACCGCAGAAATCAACAGACCAGGGGAAGAGAAGGGAAACGGAGGGACAAAAAACAATAAGAATACAAAACCCGCTCTGAAGTTAGTATTTCCTATTTTTTTTTATTTATGTTCCTTGTTTTCGTGTAATCATTTGTCTTACACCAGTACAGGATAAAATATATATGTATGTCTTCAGATGAACTAAAAACACATAACTGCCAAGAAGGGAAAAAAAATGTAACCTAACATATAACCCTGTGTGAATGTTGGCGTGAATGGTTTTCTGTCTCTATGTGTTAGCCCTGTGGCAGACTTGCCACCTGTCCAGGTTGTCTGCTGGAACTGCTTGCATACTCTTGCAGCATGAGGCCGGGCACTGTCGTGCACCAGAAGGACCCCCACGACCCTACGCCTGACAGTGGGTCCAAAGATGCCCAAATGATATACTGGTACCCTTGCCTGGCTTGTAGAAGTCTGCGTATCCCTCCATGGATATACTTCTCCAGACCATCACTGATCCATTACCAACTCAGTCATGCCCAACTCTTGGTATTTCAGATACTCTGATTCAACAGTGTTCCTTTATTTTTGTGAGCAGTATATGGTAAAGTTCAAAGGTTTTAACAAAAAAAATGGAATAAGGTGTGTTCAAATTACCTCTTTCTTAGTTTCCTTGCTGGGGTCATAGTCACTGTCGTGGGCTTCAATGGGATTGGCATCCTGTATCTCCTCATCACTGCAGCAACAATAAGCCAAAATCCAATCACTGGATGTCGTCACACAACAGCAACCTCACACCGACGCAGTAGAATCCAAAACTAACTCTTTGTGAGCTTACGTTTTTAGGTAACTGAAATGATGATGGAGGTCAGTCAATAAAAACAGACACATTAAGTAACAATTTTAATGATTTTTCATATTTAAAAAAATCTCAAGGGCATGAGTCTGCAATGGTTTCTGCATAAAAATTCCCAAAATGTCCCAGGAAAGTTTCAATTTCCAGACAGGGACAGGTAGGTCTGACTGTGAGACGGGCTTTTTGCTTAACAGGTGAGACGGGCATTTTGCTTAACAAATGCTCTCTTGTCGCCCTAGATTTTTTAACTGAGGTATGTCCACAAACCGTGGATAAATGGGTGTCAGAGTGCTTTGCGCTTTGACGAGACAAAATGCCTTCTTTTCAGCAAAAAAAGAGAAAACTTTTTTTTTCAAAACAAAGGACTATAGTCAGATTCAAGGAGTAGTGTTGATCTATGTGCTGTACCTCTCATCCTGGTTGCTCCTATTGGCCAATTTACGAGCCTGTCTGTCCATCAGACTTGTTCTGGAACGCGTCTTTTTCCATGAATAGTAGTACTTCACCAGACTGGAGATGGATTTGTCCGGTAACTGAAGCAATAAATAAATAAATAAAATAAAATAAACAAAACACGTGATATTTTCATAGAAACAGTACCTCAAAACTGTTTGTACAGTACCCTCCCCCAAATCTTTATGGTTTATTGTTAATATCAGAAACATTACATTACTGGATCAGAAACACTGATGTTGCTGTGTTAAGTGGTTACCATCTGCTGGATGCGGTGAAAGCTCTTTCCGTGGAAACTAAAGGCCTGTTCAAACAACACTTTGTCCTCCACTGTCCACTCATCTGGGAACGGGGTGAAATTTGGCAAGTCTGCCAGAGATTTCTCAATATTGTGTTTGTGCCAGAAGAGCATGCCAAGAGCCTGAAGACACACACACAAAGGGTTACCAAAACACAGATACCACAGGCTTAAAGCACCAACCGCCTAGGCTAAAAGATGAAGCCATTTGGCCAAATCCCATGTTAATTAGCAGGTGCTCATTTTACTCACTTTAACTCTGTAGCTACCCACTCTTTGTTACTGTTCTCTACATGAGTTTGAAATAATGACCTAATGGTAGTCATACACCAGCTGTCATTCTTCAACTGTGTAAAAAAATCCTTATTTTACAGATAAACAAGGAAATGGTTTGGCATAATCAACCTACAGTAAAGCCAAGTTCATAACAACAGTTCTGCTGTTTACTTAACTAATAGGATATTTTCAAGACATAAAAACTATTTCAGTAGCCTATTTACACTCAAATAGTACTTGCTAATGATGGGAAAAGATTCTGGGCTGTCTGCTCTCACTTGTAGAATCATCTTGCCAAATGAAACATGCCCAAGTGCCAAACTATTAACAACCACTTGTTAATAGTTTGTCAAAATGCAAAGGAGTAAAAATGACCAATCATGTAACTATGTTAAAGTAAAACATCATCATCTTATATTTCATGACTTTTTTAGAAGGAATTTAAATATTATATGGTGAATTTGGGGACGTGTGGGATTGAAAATAATTGCCAACAATGTCATTTTGACCCCATAGAAATTCATGTAAAACAGCAAACGAGACTTGGGTGTGGAAAACTATCGAGAGTAGATCAGCCAAAGCAGGCTGATCTGTGTCTCAGGCCTGAGGAGCAGAGTTCTGGAGTTGAAGAGCTACAGACGTGTGATGAAGCAGTGTGGATCATGGATGAGAGGCTGCAGACTTGGTGACGTGGAGGCATTTGTGGACAGTCTTGTTGTTGAGTGTTAAAATAAGTTCTTTAAAAATCAAAAAATTATTTAATATAAAGGCAACATGAGCAGAGAGTACAAACATGTTAAGGGATTGACTGTGTTAGTTCAGGGAGTTATTTGTAAAGAAAACAATTTTCAGTAGCATTCAAAAACTAATGTGTACACTTATGTCTGCATTGTGTGTGGCCAGAAAGAGAGTGCCAATTTGTTTATTTGGTAGCTCAATGAAAGGCTTCAGTGAGTTAACCACGGAGTCAGAAGTACCTGACTCCGTGGTATAATTCTCAAACACAGAGGAAATGGCGTGTCACAAATTTAGAGGATCATCATTTAGCCTGGAGAAATAGTTTGCTGCTTTATAAGAAAGCCCTCCGCGAAGCCAGAACATCTTACTATTCATCACTGATTGAAGAAAATAAGAACAACCCCAGGTTTCTCTTCAGCACTGTAGCCAGGCTGACAAAAAGTCAGAGCTCTTTTGAGCCAACCATCCCTTTAACGTTAACTAGTAATGACTTCATGAACTTCTTCACAAATAAAATTCTTATCATTAGAGAAAGAATTACCAATAATCATCCCACAGATGTAATATTATCTACAGCTACTCTTAGTACCATTGATGTTAAGTTACTCTTTTTCTCCAATTGATCTTTCTGAGTTAACTTCAATAATTACTTCCTCCAAACCATCAACGTGTCTTTTAGACCCCATTCCTACAAAACTGCTCAAAGAAGTCCTGCCATTAATTAATTCTTCAATCTTAAATATGATCAACCTATCTCTAATAATCAGCTATGTACCACAGGCCTTCAAGCTAGCTGTAGTTAAACTTTTACTCAAAAAGCCATCTCTAGACCCAGCAGTCTTAGCTAATTATAGGCCAATCTCAACCTTCCTTTCATATCAAAAATCCTTGAAAGAGTAGTTGTCAAACAGCTAACAGATCATCTGCAGAGGAATGGTTTATTTGAAGAGTTTCAGTCAGGTTTCAGAGCTCATCACAGAACAGAAACAGCTTTAGTGAAGGTTACAAATGATCTTCTTATGGCCTCTGACAGTGGACTCATCTCTGTGTTTGTCCTGCTAGACCTCAGTGCAGCGTTCGATACTGTTGACCATAATATCCTATTAGAGCGATTAGAGCATGCTGTAGGTATTACAGGTACTGTGCTGCAGTGGTTTGTATCATATCTATCTAATAGACTCCAATTTGTGCATGTAAATGGAGAGTCCTCTTCACACACTGAGGTTAATTATGGAGTTCCACAGGGTTCAGTGCTAGGACCAATTCTGTTTACATCATACATGCTTCCCTTAGGCAATATCATTAGAAGACATACTATACATTTACACTGCTATGCAGATGACACCCAGCTCTATCTATCTATGAAGCCAACACACACCAATTAGTTAAACTGCAGGAATGTCTTAAAGACATAAAGACCTGGATGGCCGCTAACTTTCTGCTTCTTAATTCAGATAAAACTGAGGTTATTGTACTCGGCCCTGAAAATCTTAGAAATATGGTATCTAACCAGATTCTTACTCTGGATGACATTACCTTGGCCTCCAGTAACGCTGTGAGGAACCTTGGAGTCATTTTTGACCAGGACATGTCCTTCAACGCACATATTAAACAAATATGTAAGACTGCTTTCTTCCATTTGCGCAACATCTCTAAAATTAGAAATATCCTGTCTCAGAGTGACGCTGAAAAACTAGTTCATGCATTTATTACTTCCAGGCTGGCCTACTGTAATTCATTATTATCAGGATGCCCAAAAAACTCGCTGAAAAGCCTTCAGCTAATCCAAAATGCTGCAGCAAGAGTCCTGACAGGGACTAGAAAGAGAGAGCAGATTTCTCCTGTTTTGGCTTCCCTTCATTGGCTTCCTGTTAAATCCAGAATTTAATTCAAAATCCTGCTCCTCACATACAAGGTCTTAAATAATCAGGCCCCATCTTATCTTAATGACCTTGTAGTACCATATCACCCTATTAGAGCACTTCGCTCTCGCTCTGCAGGCCTACTTGTTGTTCCTAGAGTATTTAAAAGTAGAATGGGAGGGAGAGCCTTCAGTTTTCAGGCCCCTCTTCTGTGGAACCAGCTTCCAGTTTGGATTCAGGAGACAGACACTATCTCTACTTTCAAGATTAGGCTTAAAACTTTCCTTTTTGCTAAAGCATATAGTTAGGGCTGGACCAGGTGACCCTGAATCCTCCCTTAGTTATGCTGCAATAGACATAGGCTGTCGGGGGATTCCCATGATGCATTGAGTTTTTCCTTTCCAGTCACCTTTCTCACTCACTATGTGTTAATAGACCTCTCTACATTGAAACATATCTGTTTTTAACTTCTGTCTCTCTTCCCCAGCATGTCTTTTATCCTGTCTTCCTTCTCTCACCCCAACCAGTCGCAGCAGATGGCCCCGCCCCTCCCTGAGCCTGGTTCTGCCAAAGGTTTCTTCCTGTTAAAAGGGAGTTTTTCCTTCCCACTGTCGCCAAAGTGCTTGCTCATAGGGGGTCATATGATTGTTGGGTTTTTCTCTGTATCTATGAAGCGCTTTGAGGCGACTTTTGTTGTGATTTGGCGCTATATTAGTTAAGAGTGAGAAAGCAAGCAAGGACGCCAACATCTCCATCTGACCAGTCACCTCCTGCAGCTCTCCATGTGTCGTGAGCCTACCCTGGGGCCTGTTCCCAGAAGGACATTTACAGAACACTATGCCCATCCTTCCCATATGCCCAAATCACCTCAACTGGCTCCTTTTGATGTGGAGGAGTAGTGGGCCTAGTCTGAGCTCCTCCCGTATGGCCATACTTCTTCCAACTATCTTTAAAGGAGGTCCTTAGGTGTTCATTTCCACAATCTCTTTCTTTTGGTGACTACCCAGAGCTCATGGCCCAACCCAGTTTCACGGCAAAGCATGTAATAGACATGCCGGTTCTTGCCTATCTAAAACGTGAAATGGACACCCATGCAGAAGTTGCATTACTGCATGCAGAAGTTGCATTACCAGCAGGGGTAAATATTTAAAGCCAAGAAGTTGGTAGCGAGCAAAAAAGCGAGTATGGGGTCCTCAATTGCCAAAAGCTATTAAGCTAGGTGGCTAATATGTATTTGCATGTCTAATAATGTCTACACTTTCTCATTATTATTTTCATGTTGGATTGAAATAAAATGTCTCCCCCTGCTGTTACTGCAGTTTACTGCAACTTACTGCAAGCATGTACATTTCAATCACGAAATGGACATATTGGACCAGTATGTCCATTACACATTTTGCTGTGATATCGGGTTGCATGGCCATAGGCCAATATAGGAACATTGCTTTCGCGCTCAGCTCCTTCTTCACCACAACAGTCTGGTACAGCGTTGCATCACAGATGACGCTGAACCAATCTGTCGGTCAATCTACTGTTTCACTCTCCCCAGACCCTGAGATATTTAAACTCCTCCACTTGGGGCAACAACTCATCCCTGACTAAGACACTATGTAAGTTGGGTGGGTGTAAGGGGCAGAGACCCTTGCAGATCGATCCTAAGTTGGCGAATTTTACTTTATCCAAAATTCACAACGTTCTCCTTCTACAATAATTAAATTATTTATATTATGAGTTAACTATTGTGCTGTGTGATGAACCCTTTGTGTATTAATTAATTCTAACATACACGGAGTGCAGAATTATTAGGCAAATGAGTATTTTGTCCACATCATCCTCTTCATGCATGTTGTCTTACTCCAAGCTGTATAGGCTCGAAAGCCTACTACCAATTAAGCATATTAGGTGATGTGCATCTCTGTAATGAGAAGGGGTGTGGTCTAATGACATCAACACCCTATATCAGGTGTGCATAATTATTAGGCAACGTCCTTTCCTTTGGCAAAATGGGTCAAAAGAAGGACTTGACAGGCTCAGAAAAGTCAAAAATAGTGAGATATCTTGCAGAGGGATGCAGCAGTCTCAAAATTGCAAAGCTTCTGAAGCGTGATCATCGAACAATCAAGCGTTTCATTTAAAATAGTCAACAGGGTCGCAAGAAGCGTGTGGAAAAACCAAGGCGCAAAATAACTGCCCATGAACTGAGAAAAGTCAAGCGTGCAGCTGCCAAGATGCCACTTGCCACCAGTTTGGCCATATTTCAGAGCTGCAACATCACTGGAGTGCCCAAAAGCACAAGGTGTGCAATACTCAGAGACATGGCCAAGGTAAGAAAGGCTGAAAGACGACCACCACTGAACAAGACACACAAGCTGAAACGTCAAGACTGGGCCAAGAAATATCTCAAGACTGGTTTTTCTAAGGTTTTATGGACTGATGACATGAGAGTGAGTCTTGATGGGCCAGATGGATGGGCCCGTGGTTGGATTGGTAAAGGGCAGAGAGCTCCAGTCCGACTCAGACGCCAGCAAGGTGGAGGTGGAGTACTGGTTTGGGCTGGTATCATCAAAGATGAGCTTGTGGGGCCTTTTCGGGTTGAGGATGGAGTCAAGCTCAACTTCCAGTCCTACTGCCAGTTTCTGGAAGACACCTTCTTCAAGCAGTGGTACAGGAAGAAGTCTGCATCCTTCAAGAAAAACATGATTTTCATGCAGGACAATGCTCCATCACACGCGTCCAAGTACTCCACAGCGTGGCTGGCAAGAAAGGGTATAAAAGAAGAAAAACTAATGACATGGCCTCCTTGTTCACCTGATCTGAACCCCATTGAGAACCTGTGGTCCATCATCAAATGTGAGATTTACAAGGAGGGAAAACAGTACACCTCTCTGAACAGTGTCTGGGAGGCTGTGGTTGCTGCTGCACGCAATGTTGATAGTGAACAGATCAAAACACTGACAGAATCCATGGATGGCAGGCTTTTGAGTGTCCTTGCAAAGAAAGGTGGCTATATTGGTCGCTGGTTTGTTTTTGTTTTGTTTTTGAATGTCAGAAATGTATATTTGTGAATGTGGAGATGTTATATTGGTGTCACTGGTAAAAATAAATAATTGAAATAGGTATATATTTGTTTTTTGTTAAGTTGCCTAATAATTATGCACAGTAATAGTCACCTGCACACACAGATATCCCCCTAAAATAGCTAAAACTAAAAACAAACTAAAAACTACTTCCAAAAACATTCAGCTTTGATATTAATGAGTTTTTTGGGTTCATTGAGAACATGGTTGTTGTTCAATAATAAAATTATTCCTCAAAAATACAACTTGCCTAATAATTCTGCACTCCCTGTACTGAAATAATCTAAACCATTTGTACAACTCACAAAGCCCCTAAAACTTAATCTTAACTTCATATTTTGTAAAACCTTACCTATGATTAGAAAAAACAAATGTAAATTTTCAACTTGTGAAAAGAATTACATCTCTTCCATCACTGCTGTTGTTGTGGGACAGGGTGAAAATAACCCCTCATATTGGTTCTAGCAGTAAAGCCAGCATGTCATTACACTTGAGAGCTGTACAAAGTTAAAACTGGTAATTTATTTTCTTTTGTGACTGTCACAAAAATGTAAAGATGGCGTGTTAGCTACTTTCCATGTGAGTTTCACAAGGTGAGCAAAGGTTGCTTCAAGAAGGCAGCCCAAAACTGAAAAATGTCACAGTGTGTGCAGTTTTAAAGGCCGCTACTGCTGGCACTCTACAGCTGTTAGGTTGGGACCAAGGAAAGTATTGCTTCACTTCAGTGTCTCTTATGTTGGGTTTAGTAAATACCGGAGTCATTCTGTATACAGCCTCAATCTTTTACATTGAGAACAGTGGGGGATTTTCTATCCAATTTTCTGATCCAGTTTTTTTTAACATGAGTGAAAAAATATGGGGCTGAGATGGAAAAGTTGTCATATCATTAATAATAATGTGTGACATAGGAAAAAATGTCATATCTCTAGCATGTCTACCACATTCTTTTTCATTGTTTTATAGTTTTTTGAAAACAGCAACTGAAGACTTTTCACAACCAGCTGTTACTGCAGCTTGTCAATTGGGGAATGAACAAGATAATACGTTTCCCCTATACAGACTGTGACCACATTTAGTTAAACTTTGCGGCACATTTAAAAGAAAAGTCAGCTGCTGTATAGCTCACCTGTTCCACGTTGTATCCATGTTTTTCTTTGGCAATAGCAATGTATTCATCAACTGTGGAGGGAGACACACACAGACTGTTAGATGGATCTGATCTTTTGTGTCAAAAAGAAGAAAGAAAAAAAGAAATCACAGAAGGTGGACTAAATATTTTCAGTCAAACACAATATTAACATTACGTTTGGAGTCAATGATGGTGTGATAAGGAGACCAAACCAGCATCCCTCCGCTGTCTTTATCTGTGTACTTGGTGGCACCTGTACAAACATTATAGAAAAATGATAAAAATAACAGATTTTATTCAGCTGCTGCTAATTTAACACTTATAAGTTATTTTATCAGTGATATACACCAGATACAGTTTGTACATATGTTATTACAGCATATCATCAGGGAAGAACTATTCCTATTACTCCTTCTGTTTGAGCCACTTCAGTAGCAAGCAATATTTATTTATATAGCACTTGCCATAAAAAGGAGTCATCAAGTGCTGTCATGAAAATAATGAAAAACAGCAGAAAGTTTTATAGCAGGTAAAACAATAAACAAAAATGTAAAAGAAATTAAAAGACACCAAAAAATATAAAGTAAAAAAGATACTAGACTCGATGACAAAACACTAAAGCAGAACTAACACAACACACTCTACTGAAATTCCAGACTATATATCTCTGGCTGACTTCCACAGACTCAGCAAACCTCAGTGAACAGGGAGAGTATTCCAATAGTTGGACATGATAGTCTCAGTATGGTTCTCCTCAGTACGGTTGTCCAAGGAGGAAAAAGAAAACATCAATACTAAAATTAATTTAAAATTAAGCTGTATTTCAGCTGAATGAAGCAAATACGGCACTTATTGTTCCAAATAATTATCGTAACACAACATGGCTTCAAAGAGAAAGGCCTCTACCCCACTAACAGCTATGCAGTTGATGTTCATTATTGCAGGCTTAATGGGTCATGGATGCAATATTGAGCTGTGTCAGACCACATGGAAAATCGTTCGGGTCGCTGGCTGTACAGAGCAGGGGGGGAACCATAGCTGAACTTACCAGAGAGTCCAGACTGTGGGGAAGTACAATGAGCAAATAAAGAGTGAAATCTGGAGCAGAGCAGTTGAAGGGGTTTCAGGCCGGTTCAATCTTTCACAGTAAGCACTCCGTTTTTTTTCTTAGCATAGCAAATACCATACCTTATCCAAAATACCTTGCCGTAATGCTCTTCTAATACAATAATTAAATTATTTAGCTGTAGGACATTGTTTAGCAGGTTTTAAAATCTATTTTACCTTCACAATATGTAATTAAATTATCTAAATGCTAAATAAATGACGAAATGAGGTGTGAGTCGAGAATTGCACAGCACTCTTTTAATAAAACGATCATGGTTAATTATATGACTCAAAACGAACTGTAATCATGATCAAACTCCAGTCGTACTTTTCCACCTGACATTTTATGTTGTTAATAAATTGGAAGAAACACGACAGTCATAGCTGTCAGTGAAGTTTGTGTCACTTCGGTTCATGTTTGCCTCCGCGGCCTTTACGCTGACTTTAAAACAAGCTGATACCACAGCAAGCCGACTGAAAATCGGACTCTTAACTATTACTGCAGTCAGTTTTAATCCACTAGCAAACTAACGTATTGGCAGTGAGCGTAGTACAGTACAGTCTGATACTGTACACATACCGAGGCTACCACGGCTCACCACTCAGGTAGAAAACAATAAAAACTCACCGGGCTCAAAATCGGGGATTGTGGCCTGGTAGTCTGCTCCAACACGCATTCCTACATCTGGAAAACACAAACAACAACCACGAAAACAGTTTAATTTAACTAGTCATATTCAAAACACGGACATCGGGAGCGGTAAGAAGCTGTTCGAGGCTATATCACCGTGTTCGTCGTCGCTGCCACTTTCGTCAGAAAAATGTCCGTTAGAGGCTGTGGATGGACTTTTGGTGCCATTTGAGCGACCCTTCCCTAAATAATCCGAGCCCTTTTCCATCATGCCCGGCATCTCTGCGCTCTGATTCACCGATTTTAGCTTCTATGTCGGGATATAAAATGTCAGCAGGAGCTGGACGTTTTTCTTTTGCTGCTGTTTATTCCGTCGCCGCAGCTCTATCCGTGTCGCTGTAACCCTACTCGTGACTCTCACCGTGCTTGCACGGTTAATTCCGGCTGCGATATGCTATGTGTAACAACCGAGCAATCTCTTCTTAGTTTTTTAGCAAATCTTTAATCCAAATTGTTCCTCCGAGGGATATTTTAGTTGCGTAGACCTGTAGCTGGGGGCCTAACCATGGCGGCGGAAGTCTTTTTACGCACCTTTGGGTGCGGTAGTGCGACTCCTGCTGCTGCGGTACCGTTGAAATGAGATTCCTCCGCCGAGACAAACTGAAGAAGAAAAAAAAACAGTCAAGAGGTTTAGTGCCAACAAAATGCAGATTCAGCATTAGGATAACGCAACGGTGAATGCAGAATATCCGGAAACTGTAAATATTACCAATAAATCACATTGTAAATGTCATAATTTCAAATAAATTCATGTCAGGTTATTCTTATATCGTATGTCAGGTTATTACAGACTGTATACTGTATGTCCTACCACTGACAACACTTAATGATTACCTGTTATCCTGTTATTCTTGTTTAAAATTTGCTTATTAATTACCCTTCTGCGTGGACTCTCTGCGACCAGTAGAGAAAGATCCCGCACAACAATGAAGCATTTAAACTGCACTGTAAGCTAAAGGAATCCACTAACACATAATATCTGTAATAACGAAGATACTTGCAGGTATATAAGCCTTCAGACTCCCTGTGATTTATTTAATCACTTGGTTTGAAAAAAGTGTTTGGCCCCTTCAGGATTTTCTATTTTTTTATATGGTCGTCACACTTAAATGATTCAGATCATCAAACAAATTTTAATATTGGAGAGAAAAAAACACAAGTAAACACGAAATTCACTTTGTAAATGGTGCTTATTATTAAGGGGGGAAAATCCTAACCCTACATAGCCCTGGGTGAATACTAACACAGGGCCATGTAAGTTGATGACAAAGTACCTGTTCTTCATCGGCTGGGAGCAAAGCAGTTTTCACCTGAACGCTGCACTATAAGTGTTAGTGATTGTCTCTGTCCTTTAAGGCTGCTTCTCTATTGTTTCTCTGAAGATTGCTAATTCGTCATCTCTTCTGTGCAGAAGCCTGGATGTTTCCCTGGCCAAGTGTTTTTGTGAGTGAGAGAGAGCCAAGGAGGAGATTCTGTGTCTGCATGGATTTAAAAGTGTAAATTTAATTCACCAATAGAGTTACTTTTCCCAATTTATAAATATAGTCTGTGATTAATTACTTGATTGAAGATGCTGTAAATAACTTCTATGAGGACTGTAAATGACTGGTCGTGCATCAACATACAGGATTACGTTAAGTATGTGATTGGGTAGCACTTTTGTTAACAACAATGCCAACACCATTAACATGGTCATTCCCCACAAACACACCCATAAACTGTCTACACTTGGCCTGTACCTCACCTGGACTCTTTGACTGGGAAGCCTCAGTCTGTCAGTGTTGGTAATAAACCTTCAGCCGGTATTACTATAAACATGGGCACTCCACAAAGAGGCATTTTCAGTCCCATCCGCTACACTCTGTTCACCAACAACTGTGTTACCTATCACAAAGATAACATCATCTTAAAGTTTGTGGACAACACCATCCTGATAGGACACAGTACATACAAAGCAACCTACAGAAGGGAGGTCTGATGTCTATGTGCGAGAACAACAACCTCACTCTCAACACAGCCAAGACAAAAGAGATCATAGTGGAAGAAGAGGAGATTCCACCTGCCACCGGTCATCTGGGAGCTGGAAGTGGAGAGGGTAAGCTGCTTGGGTATCTACATCAGTGAGGACGTGTAATACCAAGTAGTCTGGTATGTTGCCTAAAATCCTCAGCAGTGTCTACAGCTGCATTGTGGACAATATCTTGACCAGTACAGTAATGCCAGTGCTATGCACCACAAATGCCTGCAAAGTAGTAAGGACTGCCAAACAATTTTCAAGTTTTCACAATTGATTATTAAGTATTTATTGGCATCAGACAAACTGGAAAGGATGCCACTGCCTATTGAACAGAATTTTTGTAATATGGAACAATAAAGGCATTAATGTGATTGGTTAAAAAAGTTGGGCCAAGGCAAGGGTTTAAACTTGGCCCTCCCTTTATGGTCTTTGTCCATCCCTTGGTCATGTTTCATCTTCTGCACTGGGCTTGTCCTGCAAGATAAGAGCAGACAACTCCTCCCACTTCACCATGGCAACAGCTCTGTCAGCCCTGGGGAGGAAGGGTGAGAGGGATGAAAGAGAGAGAGAAAGAGAGAGCGCTCTTCTCTAAAACTTTTGAATAAAACTTTTGAACAAGATGGAAAAAAAGTCACAAAATACTTGCACTATAAGAAAAATTCTAAAAACAAGCAGCATAGCCTGCTAACCTTCTGTCAAAAAGTTATTAGGCGTTTTTTAATGAAATAAATTGATTTTTACAGTAATCGCCATTAAACAGGCATTCAGTTATTGGCAAAATGGAAACATTCTTATTTACAGCACAGCCTCTGTATCGATAACTTCTTTATCAAATCTGTACCACTAGTACTCAACACCTGTAGAACTAATAACACGTAGGCTTCATTTTGTGTTAAATATAAATCTATTTTATTTCACTCTATTTCTCCTTTGAGAAGATCAGTAAATTGCAGTTACACCAACATGAATAAATAAATTCACAAACTGAACATCTTTTAAACATACTTTCCAGATAAGTTGTATCTCATGTGAATGTGTTCTTATGCATTCAAGTATTCGCTCGTCTATTGTAAGACACATATGATCTTGGGTATCATCTGATTCTTAATCCATAAAGTTCAATCTCATGTCGACCCAGCCTTTGCAACTATCACAGCCGAAACTGTGGTTTATTAAAATGGGACAAACAGACAAATGGCACAGCTGTCGTGCCGAAAATAAATGCGCACTATCACAATATCATAGTGCCTTTTCCAGTTACGATCACATGGCCGCAAACTCGGTACAGTAGAAATGCGGTATAGCTTACAAACGTAGTCCTTGTGCGTGTGTGTGTGTGTGTGTGTGTGTGTGTGTGTGTGTGTGTGTGTGTGTGTGTGTGTGTGAGTGAGAGAGAGATTTCACTGTATTTCTAAGTTTTTTCACTTAGAAAAAACGGTGAACCTGGCTGAAGACTTGAAAACTATTTCTCTTTGGAAAAGCGAGCGAAATCCCTCACCTCGGGAAACCCAGGTGCAACACTTTGAAGCACATTGGTTCCGTTTAGGTGGCCCCACTTTACATTTTCAGCATAAAGTAAAAAAAACAACACCCACACATTTGTTTTCACTACAGGTGCAATTACTTACTGTGGTACGTTTTCTTAATACCGAAATATTATGTCTGCAGTGTTTTTAATTACAATCAGTGACGTGATGATAATGTAATGCTCACTGTATAAAGCATCAATACGCCTCTCTCACTCCTCTGGCATCCACCCTCTCTCCCCACATATGTTTGAAGCTCGCTCTATCACAGCCAGTCTCTGGCCCATCTCGAAGCTTGTGCAGCAATAATCTGCCAATAGCGAGCCTGCTGAGGTGGGGAGAGAGCGAGCACAAGCACATACTATACAGCGTGCGAAGCTCGTGTTTATATGTAATATGTGAGCGGCAGGAAGCAGCTCGCTCTGCTCATTGCAGAAGGACGGCAGGATGGCGAGAGGACGGCGGGGTCTCGTGGCCCCTCAGAACACGTTTCTAGAGAACATCGTCCGCCGGTCCAACGGTAAGATACGATCCGGTTCTGATCTGTTCTGCACCTGGCTTCAAATGGTGATAATATATTTCTTATATATAATGTTTTGTGATTTTGTTGCTCATTTCGCCTTCAGGCATAGCCACATAAACACACACGGGCAATTGCTAAAAACCTAAGTAGTACTGAAACCACAAGTAATTATGGTTTAAATTTATTATGGTAGCTCTTTACTTTCAGTGATGGCTATTCCTCTCTCTCTCTCTCTCTCTCTCTCTCTCTCTCTCTCTCTCTCGCTCTCCCTCACTTTCCCTACACACACACACACACACACACACACACACACACACACACACACATATATATATATATATATATATATATATATATATATATATATATATATATATATATATATATATATATATATATTCACACGTTGTAACAGTCACAAAAGGCACATAGGCTCCTTATTAACAAGTAGGGGTAAGGCAAATCAATTTCATAGAGCAAAGTTTATTAGATAAACAACTACCAATTTAGAGCTGCAGAGAATAAAAACAAACTAAATAGCAGGGCTGACAGTACCAATCCGTTAAGACACTTTATTAATAAACATTACTTTAAAGGACCAGGTTCACTGCCATGATGCTGCCCTTGGTTAAAATAGCAGCTCAAGAAAATAGTTAACTAAAATGGTGGAGACTAGCCCCTTGAAGGCAACCTACAGGGAGGAGGGACCAAGGGTGCCACCAATCACTCACCCGTGCAATCTTTCTGAAATCCTCACTGCCACTCTCACTGCAACTTAAATGGCCCGTTATACTTGTTTCCCGGTATGTACACTCCAATCCACAAAAGGGAATTCCACCACACGTGCCTAGCCCCCCTCCCCCTGCAAGCAGCTGTGTCTTCACTAAAGAAAATTAAAATAAACATGCATATCAAGCAATACAGAACACAAGCCTGTGTAGGCCTGTAACAAGAGAAAGAAACCAATTATCCAGGGTCCACCCTACTTCTAAAAACAAAGAAAAGTACAAATGAAGTCACTTAAAAACAGCAAAAGTACGTAAGTGCAAATTGCATCAATAAATAATATGTACACTATAAAACTAAGAAAATTTTCTAATTGTTACTCACTGCTCTCTGTGGGCGTATTTGCTTTAACTAAAGCCACACTAATCGGGGGGAATAATTATTTTACTAAATCACAGCCTGTATAGTAACATTCTACATTTACCTTTGCTGTAAGCTAACATTACCATCACACCTCACTGAATTGAATAAAATTACTCAGCTGCCTTAATTCAAACTGACACTACTCTACATTTATAATAATAATAATAATCAGTTTGTGGTTCCAAGTTTCACAAGAAACAATTTTCTTGAATGTTTTGCAAAGTACTGGTTGTTAAAGTAAATCCCTTTTTTGCTGCTAGTGCTCTCTCAGAAATGCCCAGACTTGTCCCATTGTTGCTTATACTAGGAAATGTAAATGTGCTGCATTGGTATCGAAAAGATACTTGCAAAATGGATGGATGGATGGATGGATATTTTTTTTTTCATATCACCAGGCACTAATTTAAATGCTAGGAAGTTCCTCTAGACATGCTTTGAATTACACCAGCCATTATTCAGTAAAAGGGGGTAACTGCATCTCTAATTATATATTAACAAAAGACATTCATGAAGACTCAAGAAGGAATGCAGCACACTAAATCCAGTGCCAAGACCATGACCGTGCTGGAAAAGATAAGCAACTTTAATGACTTGAGTTTTCATTCATTATATTTATATGACGTCAATTTACAACAGTCACTTCAAGGCACTTTTATATTGTAAAGACCCTAAGACAATAATAGAAGAAAAATAGAGTACTTAGAGGAAGATGTCCGTGAAGGTTATCAGTCATCCAGGTCATCGTAGTCAAAGGAGCTTGGAAAGAAAAGCGTCTGGACTTTTTTAAGTTGCTTGAAGACGTTTCACCTCTCATCCGAGAAGCTTCTTCAGTTCTATGGACAAATGGTGGAGAGTCCCAGATTTAAGATCTGTGGAAGTAACCCACCATGAGGGACAATTGACCCAATAATGATCCTCTACCTAATCACATGAGCCAAGGTGTGAAAATGGGTGTAGGTCACAATCAGCCAAGGTTTCGGGTGAGCTCATTGTGAAACCTAGCCCCACCCTATCATGTGATTTCCTGAGGTCAGATGGCCCAGGATGTGAGTGGGCGTTAAGGCGTCTGGGAAGGGATCTCAAAACTGGATTATAGATGGCAGACAATTAGTGTCGTAAACCACCGCCTGAGAGCAATGAGAGGCGAAACGTCTTCAAGCAACTTAAAGAAGTCCAGACGCTTTTCTTTCCAAGCTCCTTAGAGTACTTAGAGGAAGTAACAAGCAAGACAGTATTTTCCCCATAGTAGCTTCTTTTCATTGCCTTCGTGTTAAATCCAGAATCAAATTTCAACGTCCTTCTCCTTATGTAAGGTCTTGAATAATCAGGCCCCATTTTACCATCCATATTTTATCTGTGAAAAGTGCTTTATAAATAAATGTTACTTACTTAATTACTTTCTTAGCCTCTGGTTCCTGAGGTAAAAGTAGAATGTGGGGCAGAAAAAAAAGAGTTTTTCTTTTCTGCCGTCGCCTTATTTCCTCATAGAACATCTGATTGTTGGGGGTGGGATGGGAATCAAGAACCAGTTCCCAGGAGTTCAATTCCTTTGAACTGTTAGTCTGTGTGCCTGCTCATTGATTCCACTTGCACTTGTACTACAATCAGCTGATTTTGGCACATTCTTAAAGGTGGATATAGACATTACTTTTATTTTTAATTCACAAAAGGACAAAAATACAAGAGTAAGTGGAACCTCCATCCAGGACAAACACATTTTGCTGCCAACACAAATTCGGCTCTTTGCAAGTACCTGCACAGACAACATGCTAACACTAAGCTAGCTAAAAACCTAGATTGATGTTAAAGCTGAGTGAATCCCATCCCTGGTCCAGCAACTAGACCCTGAACTTCAACAGGTAACAAACAAATCAGTAAGAGAATCAATAAGTAATATCACTTATCCATACCAATAATAATGGTATTGGAATTGATAAATTCTTATTAATTCCCATCCACTATTAGAGGTTTCCCCTCTGTTATCGGAGGGTCCCAACCTTACAATAAAACGCACGTGGAGGACACTGTTGTGATTTGGCACTTTATAAATTAACCTGAATTGAACTGAATTGAAAAATGACTGTCTTTTAATAGCACAGGTATTAAGTGTAGGCCAGTTGGTTATTAAATAAAAAGAATCATCATAATTAGTTTAACACTGATTTTACAGGTGTAAAAGTGAGGCAATTATTTATTAGTTTAATTTACCACTTAATTGATTAGCAATAATTACTTATGTAATAGTTAGCTTAACTTAGCTTCTCTATTGGGTTTGGTGCTATTGAACAACCAAAATATTTTATCAGAATAATGTGGACTCTGGAAGGCTGCAATGGGCATTTTTTAAACTAGCTGTTGTAGCCCTCGTGAAATGTGGAGAAATATTGTGTATGCTGGATTCATATAATTTTTCAGTCATGTGATGTTGCGAAGTAGGGCAGACTATCACTTATTGGTTTCTGTGGTCAGATACCAATTTTGTGCTGGGAAACGCTCAGATCGTGGAGTGGCCTATCGTCTATAGCAATGATGGCTTCTGTAAACTCTCTGGCTACCATCGTGCTGAGGTCATGCAAAAGAGCAGCACCTGCAGGTACCACAACACACATGGATACCACCGCATGGATTATTGAGGACTGATTGTCTCAAGTAAATGTGTACTGTATCAATGCAAATACTTGGTTTTCCTCTGCAGCTTCATGTATGGAGAGCTGACAGACAAGGAAATGAGTGAGAAGGTTCGACAGACCTTTGAGAACTACGAGATGAACTCTTTTGAGATTCTGATGTACAAGAAAAACCGTGAGTATTTAATAGTACTGGATATGACCGTGTAAGCTGCATCCAAAAATGTTTGTATGAACTGCTTCCTCAAAAACCCAGATACCTAAGGATCTCAAGAAATCTAGAAATTGTATATATGCTAATCTGGGACACACCATGCTAAAAGCTCAAAGCCTTTTAATTACCTAGCCAGGGGTCAGCAACCTTTAACACCCAAAGAGCCATTTGGACCTGGTTTCCACGCAAAAGAAAACACTGGGAGCCGCAAATACTTTTTGACATCTAAAATGAAGATAACACTATATATTGTTTTTTTTACCTTTATGCTTTGTGTGAACAACTAAAGTAAGTAAAGTTTATTTATTAAGCGCTTTTCACAGACAGGCAGTCACAGAGCGCTGTACACAAATATTAAAATAAACAATACAATCAATAGACATTATACACAATGTAAAAGATCAAATGTAAATAATGTAAAGAATATAAAATACGTAGATCAACAAAAGGCTTGTTTGAACAGAATATTTTTTAACTGCTTTTTAAAAGAATCCACAGAGCAACTAAGTTGTGTTGCTTATGAAATCCATGAAGTGCTACAGAGAAAATGACATTTTATTCATGTAAATAACACATTTTGAACTCTTAAAGAAATATAACAAAAGGAAAGACACCCAGCTGAACTAAAATGATCCAGCAAACAAAAGCTGTTGTGAGCCGCCACCCTTATATCGCCTTTGGGCTTTTGGAGCCTTGACCTGACTTTTAAAAAATAATTTGAAAAAAAAGCACTATGCTGCAAAAAAAAATTTGATATTTGCAAAATTCTGCCTAAATATGTATTTTACCTGGTTAATGTGTGTGGCGGGGCGTGGTCTGCAGCGCCGCTGCAGGGGAGGCAGATGCACCTGAGCGGGACCCGCAATCACGCCTCGCTGCCTTAAAGTCTGTGCCCTCTCTGCTGTTGAAAAGCTACAGCCGGCTGTATGCGTCAGCAACCGTGTGTGAAAAGTGGTCAATAAAGAGATGCTGAAAAGCATGATCATGCAAACATCGTCAGGTCTGCCGTGATATGTTTACAATAAGACTTATGGTCCCGAACCTCTGCGCACAGCGTCTGCAAATCGGGGCTTTCATCTTTACGCAGGACTGTAAGCTGTCGTCTGTGAGGCGTGAGCGGTGTTTGTTTTTAACGTAGTTCACGGTGGAGAACAGCTGCTGAAATAATGTGGATCCGAAGATCCACGATTGGCCTACCTGGGGTTGAAAGTCTCGATAAACGCACAGCGTTTCGGCGGGTACACCGGCTTCCGCGAGTGTGACGCTTATTTTGAGCGATGAAAAAATAATAAGATATAATTTTATTTTTATATTTCAAAATCACAATAATCTTCCAATTTAGAACTACAAGTTAAAAAAAGAACTAAACACAAGTAAAATACACTTCAGCTAAATACTTCTAATTTATTTTCCCAAACCACACGGAGCCGCAAAATAAAGACTAAAGAGCCGCAGGTTGCTGACCCCTGACCTAGCCTATTACATTTGCAAACAACTTTTGCCAGTAAAAAAAAAAATGTATTTGATAAAGAATTCAGAAGGTGAAGGTTCCTTTATTTTTTATTTCTGTGTTTTTATATATTTTTATAAGCATAACACCACCTAAAGCAAACTTCACACATCATACAAAATAACTTAGTATTTAACAAGACTTTGGTTTTAAAATGGTATTGATTCTTCTAAGTTGTAAGATTATACTAAACAACTTTCCTTTTTGATAAAATTTATGGTTGGATCAGGTGACCAGAACACTTGTTTAGGTATGCTGCAATAGATCAAGGCTGCTGGAGGCTGCATATCAACAAAAAAACTGGGCTTTCTTGGCTCCCATGTTATCTTTTTCTCTGTTGGTGACAAGTTGTATAGTTAGGGGTTGTTTTGTGTAAAGGATCAGTGAAAAAAATATTGTTCTTTTTTTTCTGCCTGGATAGAAAGTTATCGGTGAAATTTAAATCTCTCTATTTGGGAGCAAATAACATAATTAGAATAGAAGATATCAAGCTAATGCCACTGAGCTATGTATAGCTGCAGATCGCATACGTTTACTTTTCAAATTCAAAGCTTGAAATTGGTCTTTCCATGGGATGCAGCATTTAACATTCCATTTTTAGGCACTTGCCATTATTGAATATTTCTTTGTTGTAACAGTGCTTCTTGGCAGTAGATTTTATACCATTGGAAAACACATTTCCTCTAAATGGTGTAACATTTATAAGGAAATTTAATTGGTTTGTTGAGCAGCAGAGTTGAGTATGTGGGTTGTATCAATGAAAACCTTGGCATATCATCTCTGCCAATGCCAAGCAGGTTATTTTCCAATTGACTCCTTTTTGGTGGTTGGATGATTAGTCTAAAGAAACAAGACATATTAAGAGTTTAACAGTTTATTCATCCTCACTCATGCTCAGTGGCGGTCCTAGCCTGTTTGGCGCCCTGGGCGAGCACTAACCTCTGCCCCCCCCCACACACACACACACACACACACACAAAACATGTTAAGGATTGTACCATTGTACCGAATTGGTGAATTGTACTGGATTGCACACACACACACACACACACACACACACACACATATGAAGAGAGAGAGAGTATGCATAGTAGCATAGTATGCAAATGATTACCAAACAGCCATCATAATTTGTCATACAATGAGAACAGGACAAATCAACAACTGACACTGACTAATTAATATTAGAATCTGTAACATAATGTATTGTTTGGAGTTTAGTCTGTTACTGTTACTATTTTTACCATTTCTTCTTAGAGCAACTGTAACCCATATAGTGTCCTTAGGGATTAATAAAGATTCTGATTGTTTCAGGATACATGACATAATCCAATGACACATCTGCTTACCTGTATCTTTTGCTCGTTTCTCCTCCTCTTCTTTTCTCTTTTTTCTAAACTGAGGACCTGATGGCTTTGAACTTTTCTTGTCCATCTCCCATTGGTTTTAATTTTGCACTCCAGTATGAACACCCATCCCCCAACCTGAGGATCACCACAACATAACCTTCACCTTAGTTCACAGATTCACTTTGTCTAGGGTTTATTTCTGGGATTCCAGGATTCAAATCATGAATACATAATGGATTTGGATTTACAACATTATGAATGAAATGTGCTCTATTTGGAAGCAGCAGGGCCCCGTCCCCTTTTGACGGGTTGTGTGTGAGACTTTAAATCATCAAACTGTAAATTATAAATTGTTATTGATCCCTTTACCCCGAGTCCTAAAGTGTGTATTTATTTTCTTACTCTTCTTCTTCTTATTGTTTGTTTACTTGCACTGCTGTAACAGGAGCCTCGTCGTCTCGTCTCTCTATATACTGGACTGTCTGTAGCGGAGATGACAATAAAGTTTACTTTGACTTCAGCAGCGAGCAGGCGCACCGAGGGCTCTCGCGCTCACTTTTCGCTTATAGAATTTCGAAAAAACATCGGTGTAAATTGTAGGTCTGTATCATGATGTCTGGTGTTTTCGTGTTTGTTGGTTTGTTTTTATTTTGTGTTATTTTGCGAGCTGGTTATTAGATGCTGCTCCAGCCAGCCGGAGAATACACCACCCCCCCGCCCTCTCCTCCCTGTGCCGCAAGCAGCAGGCGCACCTCGCAAATGGAGGGCGCCCTTACTCCCAGCAAATGGGCGATAGAAAACCGGTCGGTGCCTATGCCATTCCCAATATGCGCTGGCATGATGTCAGGGCAGCATGAGTACGAGCAATTTTTTTTTTCCTGATGCCTGTGATGCCGCCCCCCACCACGATGCTGCCCCGGGCAACCGCCTGTGTCGCCTGTATCAAAAACCACTACTGCTCATGCTGGCCAGCTTGCTGTGGGATGGCATCCCAGTGTATTGGCCAATCTGGCACAAGCAGCACACCCAAGGCAATCCCATAAGTGTTCAATAGCACTGAGATCTGGACTGCAGGTCCGTTTTTCCATCCTCTCCACTCCACTTCAGGGTTCAGTGCTAAGACCACTTCTCTTTACATTACACATGATTCCATTAGGCAGTATCATTAGAGAACATAGCATATGTTTTCATTGCTAGGTAGATGATACCCAGCTTTATCCATGAAGACAGACACCACACACACCAATTAGCTAGACTATAGGAATGTATTTAAAACATAAAGACCTGGATGACCTGGATTCAGATAAAACTGAGGTTATTGTGCTCTGCCCTAAAAAATTTGAAACATGGTTTCTAACCAGATACTTACTCTGAATGGCATTACCTTGGCCTCCAGTAACAGTGTAAAGAATAATTTTTAAATGAATCTTTTTTGACCACAGTATGTTCTTCAGTGTGCATATTAAACTGTTTTCTTTTGATTGCACAATATGTCTAAAATTAGAAATATTTTGTATGAGAAGACTACTTTATGCATTTATTTCTTCCAGGCTGGACAATAATTCATTATTGTCAGGTTGTCTTAAAAACTCCCCAAAAAGCCTTCAGTTGATCGAAAATGCTGCAGCAAAAGTAATAATATATAAATAAAACTGAATTGAAATGAATTCAACTGACCACTGTAGTAGGGACCATGCTTACAGTTGCTGCGTATCATGCACCAATCAGCTACCTAATTGTCAGCACCTAGTGTAACAGTATAGTAGAATCAGCTGCTCGGCATTGGCAGAGAAGGTTTGGCAACTGTGCATTTTCCATTTTCATATGTGTTTTCCTTACAAATGTGGCACAATGTAGGGGGAAATAAACAGGCTTTCCAACAATATAAGAAGAAGGATGGTTACAACAAAGATAACTGACCAAACACCAGGGCTGGTCTAGCATACCAGGCATTTTCCCGGTGGGCCATCGCACTTTTGGGCCGATGTGCCAGCCTGAAGGGCTGCTGCGTAGCAACCGTACAAGCACTGATAGCAGCTCGTTGGTTCATTTTCATTACTGACAGTGGATTTCCCAATTAAATCTCTCAATATGACCGGCGCCTCCCCTACCTTCGCTGTTGTCTCACATTTCTTGTAGAAAAAGTTTAGTGTGGAAGAAGTGGCAAACAAAAAAAAAAACAGGCCCCACAGTCACAGAAAGCTGCTGCTGCTAGCACCAAGCCATCCTGTTCTATCCTGGTATTAATGTAATAGGGCTGCAGAAAAGCAGATGCCAATACAGATCACTGGTGCATCTCAGGTCCAACATAGAGACAGGCAACAGTCCACACCCTTACAAGATCTAACACTTATTTGTCTTTCCTCAACATTTTTCTTCTTTTTTGTGAGAATTCATTTATCATTTTTCTTTTTGTTTTGTTTTTTTGCCTGTTCTATCCAGCACTGTTTCAATCAGCATTATTGTCTGAAGGCCAAGAAAAAAGCCCATCAGATTGCTATAGTGGTCAATTTGACTGTCATAGTTTATTAGTTTATTAGTTATTTGAGATGTTCCGAGAGAGGTGGAGTCTAAGACCCCACTCTACACATAGACAAACAGGCACACACTCAGATACAAACAAACATACATTCCCACCCTCATTTCACATATACTCAGCAGCTGGTGTCAGCACAGCCCCTCCCAAGAACCCTCAATGTCTACATGTATTTAAAATTGAGAGCACCAGCACCAGAGGTGAAGCAAAATAAACAGACCGTCTTTTGGACGCCCATCCCCAAGGCCCAATATGTATGCGTCATGAGAGTGGAAGTAATGTGAGCCTCTAAGTGGTGGAATAAAATTGAGGCACAGGTGGCCTGGAGAGGAAAAAGGACATATGCCTCCCCTGCACCTCAGTTATGCACCTGTACCTCAAGGCCCTGCATGTGGGGTGGTGTGCAAGAGCGGGAGGAGAGATGCAATTGCGGATGGGGCGGAAAGGATTGGCAGTGGGGGCAAAGTACCCCATTCTTGGAGCCAGCTCCCCTGCTGACCCCCATGGGCATCCCTGTTCCCCGAAATCTACCAAGGGCAGGGGGCCTGGACCAATCCAGACCAGGGCCCACAGCAGCAGCACCACCAAGCCCCATAGAGCACAGGGCGGCCCACCTGTCCCCACCGCAGAGGACAAACAATGCCCACTCTACATTCAGTCAACTCTCAGACTACATAAGACAATAGACACCAAGGTTAGGTTTATCCGCCACCTCTGCTAGATCCCTCCCACTTATAGAAGCAGCTTCTGCTTCAATCAATCAATCGATCAATTAAAACAGAATATTATGGATTTCAAAATCTTATTTGGTTTTCATATGTACCTATTTTCAATGATATCAACTTTAATAGCAGGAAATTAACTCGACACATATTCTTTTTTTCTATTGCCAAATTTTTCAAGTAACTTATATTTGACAACAACATAAAAAAAACCCATGAAATTCTGTTTTTGGTGCTACCCCCCAATATTTGTATGTACCCCTATGAAAAAATTCTGGAGGCACCCCTGCTAGTACCAACTGTGGAGAAGTGAAGAAGAGATGGAGAAAGTGAAATTAATGTGGTAAGAAAATAGATGGAGAAACATAATTATGAAGGGAGAGTATCACAGATTACCAACTTGTTTCAATCAATCAAACAAGATGAAATATATACATATATACATTACATACAGTGGGGCAAAAAAGTATTTAGTCAGCCACCGATTGTGCAAGTTCCCCCACCTAAAATGATGACAGAGGTCAGTAATTTGCACCAGAGGTACACTTCAACTGTGAGAGACAGAATGTGAAAAAAAAAATCCATGAATCCACATGGTAGGATTTGTAAAGAATTTATTCGTAAATCAGGGTGGAAAATAAGTATTTGGTCAATAACAAAAATACAACTCAATACTTTGTAACATAACCTTTGTTGGCAATAACAGAGGTCAAACGTTTACTATAGGTCTTTACCAGGTTTGCACACACAGTAGCTGGTATTTTGGCCCATTCCTCCATGCAGATCTTCTCGAGAGCAGTGATGTTTTGGGGCTGTCGCCGAGCAACACGGACTTTCAACTCCCGCCACAGATTTTCTATGGGGTTGAGGTCTGGAGACTGGCTAGGCCACTCCAGGACTTTCAAATGCTTCTTACGGAGCCACTCCTTTGTTGCCCGGGCGGTGTGTTTTGGATCATTGTCATGTTGGAAGACCCAGCCTCGTTTCATCTTCAAAGTTCTCACTGATGGAAGGAGGTTTTGGCTCAAAATCTCACGATACATGGCCCCATTCATTCTGTCCTTAACACGGATCAGTCGTCCTGTCCCCTTGGCAGAAAAACAGCCCCATAGCATGATGTTTCCACCCCCATGCTTCACAGTAGGTATGGTGTTCTTGGGATGCAACTCAGTATTCTTCTTCCTCCAAACACGACGAGTTGAGTTTATACCAAAAAGTTCTACTTTGGTTTCATCTGACCACATGACATTCTCCCAATCCTCTGCTGTATCATCCATGTGCTCTCTGGCAAACTTCAGACGGGCCTGGACATGCACTGGCTTCAGCAGCGGAACACGTCTGGCACTGCGGGATTTGATTCCCTGCCGTTGTAGTGTGTTACTGATGGTGACCTTTGTTACTTTGGTCCCAGCTCTCTGCAGGTCATTCACCAGGTCCCCCCGTGTGGTTCTGGGATCTTTGCTCACCGTTCTCATGATCATTTTGACCCCACGGGATGAGATCTTGCGTGGAGCCCCAGATCGAGGGAGATTATCAGTGGTCTTGTATGTCTTCCATTTTCTGATGATTGCTCCAACAGTTGATTTTTTCACACCAAGCTGCTTGCCTATTGTAGATTCACTCTTCCCAGTCTGGTGCAGGTCTACAATACTTTTCCTGGTGTCCTTCGAAAGCTCTTTGGTCTTGGCCATGGTGGAGTTTGGAGTCTGACTATTTGAGGCTGTGGACAGGTGTCTTTTATACAGATGATGAGTTCAAACAGGTGCCATTCATACAGGTAACGAGTGGGGGACAGAAAAGCTTCTTACAGAAGACGTTACAGGTCTGTGAGAGCCAGAGATTTTCCATGTTTGAGGTGACCAAATACTTATTTTCCACCCTAATTTACGAATAAATTCTTTACAAATCCTACCATGTGGATTCATGGATTTTTTTTTCACATTCTGTCTCTCACAGTTGAAGTGTACCTCTGGTGCAAATTACTGACCTCTGTCATCATTTTAAGTGGGGGAACTTGCACAATCGGTGGCTGACTAAATACTTTTTTGCCCCACTATATATTGCCGTCTGAACTAGAAATGCCAGGGCTTTTTTTTTGTCCCATTTCAGCTCTGCCAAACACAAATTTCCTTACATTTTATATATTTATTATGGGGGTCTTGAGGCAATTGTTGTGATTTTGTGGTATATGAATGAATAAACTTTAATATCTATACACAAACTCTTGTAGTAAAATGACAATTGGAGAATTTCTATGTGGATGATGAGTAAATTTAAACTAGTGATTAGCTAATAATATGAAAATCTGCAGTATTAGTATTTGATAATGAAAAGAAATTTCTATTCTACTTATCCACTGAAAAATTCACTTGTCCCTAACAGGTAAACAAGCTTCAGTATTAAGCCCTGTAGTGTTCTGTTAGTATTATTGTAACCTAACAGCAATTTGGAGTCTTCCACTGGACTGTAAGTTAGGGCAGGCTGGGGAGCAGTTAAATAATGTAGTGATATCCAGATGCTGTAACAAATTATATTGTATAGACAAAAAGGATTAGCAGACCTTTGTATGCATATGACGTGGTAGTAAATACATTACATTGCAAGTGACTAGCAGGTGTATATACAGCTTTAGGCATAAAGTTGTTGATTTACCGATATAGCAGTGGGTTACGGTGCATGTGATCACTCACTGAACTTCAGAGAGTGTGAACAAAAAACATTTAGGTTGTAGACCGCGTACACACAATATTATCAGATGGTGTCGATATCAGAATTATATTGTTTAAAAGAACCTTTTTGTACAATAAATTTTTTAATTGGATATTTAAAATGGAGTGGTCCCACCGATGGTTACTTGAATTTTTGACACCATCATGTCAACATGCCAATGCCCAGAGGAAATGTAGTACTACAGTGAAACAGTACAAATCACAAATAAATTGTTGTCTACTTGTTATTCTTTATTAAATTTTATTTTAATTTTGCATTATTATATTTTCCTTGTTGACAGATTGTTGTTGTGAGAAACAGTGCTTTACTTCCTGTTCTGTTCCGCAGGGATGCCAGTTTGGTTTTTCATGAAGATTGCCCCAATCAGAAATGAGCAGGACAAAGTTGTCCTGTTTCTCTGCACTTTCAGTGACATCACTGCCTTCAAGCAACCGATTGAGGATGAATCTTCTAAAGGTGGGTTGGTTCCAAAGTGTGGGTAATCTTGACAGAGATAAAAGACAAACATAGAAAAGGCTGAAGGAACAGAATAGGAGCACACAGCTGGATTAACCTAAGGATATAAAAAACAGAAACTCAAAACTATAGACTTGAAATAACAATATCAAAGGAAATTTTACCAGGTGTAGGGAAAAAATAAACATAGATATATAAACATTAGGAAATGGCTGACAGCTCAATTCCAACAATACATAATCCTCTTTCAAATAAATAAAACTCTAGAAAGAACCAAAAACCCCAAAACTCATAACATAGACAGCCCCAACAGCAAGTGTGCCAGAAGTGTAAAAGGGTCAAAAAGCTATTATCCTATAAGGATCACCTTAGCCTTCATTCGCATCCACTCAAAGTCATCTACTGAGCATAAATATTTACTATATTGAAGAAGAAAGATGTGTAAAAGTATTGTGAGCTTACTTGGGAAAAGTGACGAGACAGAAATCTCAAATATGAACAGGAATTCATAAATACTGATGTATCACCCTGTTTCAGAAAATCATTTCTTCTGTTGACATTTGGGCATTTATTGAAGAGGAACAATGCACAGAACTCTATAAGCCTCAGCCTTAGGTAAGGTAAATAAATAAAAAAAATGGCAGTGGTGCCACTATCGAAACTTTGGGGCATTACTGGAGATTGACAATTCATCTCTTCTTCCACAACATCGCAGGATAAAATACTGTCCTTACTCAAGAGTACACTTTAGCTAACTTTCAGAAGAGTTGATTCTGTTAATCTGGACATAGTATTTTCAGTGTTTCCTTACTTATCCAAGCGACTTCTTCGGTTTTAGCTGAATGCAAGTTTCCCCAACCTTATAGAGAGTACATTTGTATGATTACTGAAACTAGCACCACTGACGAACGATGGGCTGTGAGGTCAGTTTCTTGATTATTAATATGCACATTGTCATGATTATTAATCAACAACCACTGATCATGACATGCCGTGAGTACCATTCACAGAGAGTTGGGGAATGGCTGCAATCTCAGCATTGCAATATAGTAAAAGATGTAACGTCCTCAATTCAGAGATAGTCTTTCCCCACTTCACGTAAATGGCCTCCTTGACTCCTTGCTCAAACTACTGTTCCTCTCTGTCCAGGATGCGTGTATCCTCATCTTGGAGTATACATGCATATGTATAAAATTCACCTCTCCCCCCTGTGGATGGTCTTTATCCTTCAAGCTCAGGTCCTCTGCAAGAGGCCTGGGAGCTTTAGGGTGCTGCACAGTGTCTTTGCTGTTCTTAGGACTGCGCTCTTCTGGACAGATCTCGGATGTTGTTCCTGGGATCTGCTGGAGCCACTCACCTAACATGGGAGTCACTGCACCGAGTGCTCCGATTATCACTGGGACCACTGTTACCTTCACCCTCCATATCTTCTCAAGCTCTTCTCTGAGTCATTGGAACTTCTCCAACTTCCTTTTTCCTGATGTTGCTGTCATTCGGTTTCGCTACATCTATCACAGGGGTCGGCGTGCGGCTCTTTAGTCGTTATAGTGCGGCTCCTCGTGGTTTGGGAAAATAAATTAGAAGTATTCAGCTGAAGTGTATTTTATTTATGTTAGTTCTTTTTTACCTTGTAGTTCTAAATTGGAAGATTATTGTGATATTGAAATATAAAAATAAAATTATATTTTATTATTTTTTCATCACTCAAAATAAGCGTCACACTCGCGGAAGCCGGTATACCCACCGAAACGCCGCGCATTTATCGAGACTTTCTTTCTCACAACAGTTTTTGTTTGCTGGATCATTTTAGTTCAGCGTCTTTCCTTTTGTTATATTTCTTTAAGAGTTCAAAATGTGTTAATTACATAAATAAAATGTAATTTTCTCTGTAGCACTTCATGGATTTCATAAGTAACACACCTTAGTTGTTCACACAAAGCATAAAGGTAAAAAACAGTATATACAGTGTTATCTTCATTTTAGATCTCAAAACGTATTTGTGGCTCCCAGTGTTTTCCCAAATGGCTCTTTGGGTCTTAAAGGTTGCTGACCCCCCTAATCTATCACTACGGCCATTTTCCTCTGCTTCTCCACTACTACTATGTCTGTTTGGTTAGCCATCGCCATTTTGTCTGTCTGTGGAAGTCCCCAGGATCTTAGCTAGGTCATTCTCAACCACCCATTTTGACCTCGGGACTTCCAAGCCATATTCGGCACAGATGTTTCTATATACTATGCCGGCCACTTGGTTATAGCGTTCTATGTATGCCCTGCCTGCTAGCATCTTGCACCCTGCTGTTATGTGCTAGATTGTCTAAGGGGTATCTTTACACAGCCTGCACCTGGGGTCTTGCCCGGTGTGATAGACCCCAGCCTCTACGGATCTTGTGCTCAGAGCTGGTTTCTGTGGTGCCATGATTAGTGCCTCTGTGTTATCTGTCAGTCCAGCTTTGTCCAGCCACTGGTAGGATTTATGGATGTCAGCCACTTCCTCTATCTGCTGGTGGCACATACCGTGAACGCATCTGTCCTTCCATGATGGTTCCTCCTCTTTCTTGGGTTTCTGCTGCCTGAGGTATTCACTGAGCATGCAGTTGGTCCTGGCCATTTTTCTGATGTACTCATGAATGTTTGTTGTCTCATCCTATACTGTGGTACTGACACTCAGTAGTCCCCGGCCTCCTTTCTTCCACTTAGTGTACAGTCTCAGGGTGCTGGACTTGGGGTGAAACTCTCTATGCATGGTCAGGAGCTTCCTTGTCTTGATGTCAGTGTCCTCTACCTCCTTTGACCAGCTTATTATTGCAGAAGGGTATGTGATCACAAGCAGGTCGTAGTTGTTGATAGCCCGAATGCGGTTCTCCCATTCAGTTGACACCTCAGGACTTCCCTGACCCTGCAGGTATTTGTTGGGTTCAGTTTTTCTAGCAGCCTCTTTATGGTTCCCATTTGCCTGTGGGATTCCCAGGTACAGTGGGGCAAAAAAGTATTTAGTCAGCCACCGATTGTGCAAGTTCCCCCACCTAAAATGATGACAGAGGTCAGTAATTTGCACCAGAGGTACACTTCAACTGTAAGAGACAGAATGTGAAAAAAAAATCCATGAATCCACATGGTAGGATTTGTAAAGAATTTATCCGTAAATCAGGGTGGAAAATAAGTATTTGGTCAATAACAAAAATACAACTCAATACTTTGTAACATAACCTTTGTTGGCAATAACAGAGGTCAAACGTTTACTATAGGTCTTTACCAGGTTTGCACACACAGTAGCTGGTATTTTGGCCCATTCCTCCATGCAGATCTTCTCGAGAGCAGTGATGTTTTGGGGCTGTCGCCGAGCAACACGGACTTTCAACTCCCGCCACAGATTTTCTGTGGGGTTGAGGTCTGGAGACTGGCTAGGCCACTCCAGGACTTTCAAATGCTTCTTACGGAGCCACTCCTTTGTTGCCCGGGCGGTGTGTTTTGGATCATTGTCATGTTGGAAGACCCAGCCTCGTTTCATCTTCAAAGTTCTCACTGATGGAAGGAGGTTTTGGCTCAAAATCTCACGATACATGGCCCCATTCATTCTGTCCTTAACACGGATCAGTCGTCCTGTCCCCTTGGCAGAAAAACAGCCCCATAGCATGATGTTTCCACCCCCATGCTTCACAGTAGGTATGGTGTTCTTGGGATGCAACTCAAATTCAAATTCAAATTCAAATTTTATTTGTCACGTACACAGTCATACACAGTACGATATGTAGTGAAATGCTTGGACAACTGCTCGTGACCTAAAGAAAACAAAAAAGGAAAAGGCTATGAATAAGATAGGAAATAAATATGAAAAATTAAAAAGGGTAAATTTAACTAGGAAGGAATAAAATATAAATTAAGGTTAAAAATGAAATAACTGTACAACACAAATTAGAATGAAGGGTAAATTTAACTGGGAAGAATAAGATAAAATATATAAATTAAAGTTGAAAATAAAATAACTGTACAACAAAATACACAATATAGAACTATATAAGAATGTATGAAGAAATCTAAATATAAGTAAATATATACACAATAACAGCAGCTGTACAAGTATTAACCGGAAATGAAGAATATAGTGACCAGTGTTGTGCAAAACCAAAGTCCAGAAAGTCCAGTGTGTGTGTAAGAACCATATGTGTGGGTCAGTACTGTGTGGTGGTGTGATTGAGAGACCGTATCGCCTGCGGGAAGAAGCTCCTCCTCAGTCTCTCTGTGTTGGTCTTCAGGGAGCGGAATCGCTTTCCTGACCTCAACAGAGAGAACAGTCTGTTGTTGGGATGGCTGAGGTCCTTCACGATCTTCCTGGCCTTGGTCCAGCACCGCCTGCTGTAGATTGAGTGCAGGTCAGGGAGCTCGGAGCGTATGGTGCGCTCAGCTGACCGCACAACCCTCTCTAGAGCTCGTCTGTCCTGCATGGTGCTGTTCCCGAACCAGGTTAAGATGTTTCCCGCCAGGATGCTCTCTATGGTGCACGAGTAAAAGTTCCTGAACACCTTGGAGGGCAGTTGGAAGTCTCTCAAGCGTCTGAGGTGGTAGAGACGCTGTCGGGCCTTTTTCACCACAGTGTTGATGTGACAGGACCATGACAGGTCCTGCGTGATGTGAACTCCGAGGTATTTGAAGCTGTCCACTCTCTCCACTGGGCACTCGTTGATGACGGGGGTCTGGTAGTTCCTCTCCTGCTTAGTGCTGAAGTCCACTATCAGCTCCTTTGTCTTACTGACGTTTAGAAGGAGGTTGTTCCTCTGGCACCAGTTCTCCAGATTCCTAATCTCCTTCAGGTAGGCCGTCTCGTTGTTATCAGAGATCAGGCCCACCACGACGGTGTCGTCAGCAAACTTGATGATGGTGGTGGAGCTGGTAGTGGCCACACAGTCATATGTGTACAAAGAGTACAGCAGGGGGCTCAGAACACACCCCTGGGGGGCTCCAGTGCTGAGAGTGGTGGAGGCTGAGACATGTCCGCCCATCCTTACTGCCTGTGGTCTGCCAGTTAGGAAGTTGGAGATCCACTGACACATAGATGAGCTGAGTCCCAGATGCTCCAGCTTGGTGGTGAGTGTGGAGGGAATTATGGTGTTAAATGCAGAGCTGTAGTCTATGAAGAGCATTTTAACATAATTCCCCCTTCTAGTGTCCAAGTGAGTGAGTGATGTGTGGAGGAGATGAGAGATGGCATCGTCTGTGGAACGATTTGGACGGTAAGCGAACTGTAGTGGGTCCAGTGTGTCTGGTAGTGAAGAAATGATGAAGTCTCTGACCAGGCGTTCAAAGCACTTCATCACTACTGAGGTGAGGGCTACAGGGCGATAGTCATTGAGAGAAGCAGGGTGGGGTTTCTTCGGGACAGGAACAATGATGGACTCTTTGAAGCATGTGGGGATCACCGACTAAAGAGATGTTGAATATCTCAGTGAACACAGGAGCTAGCTGGTATGCGCAGTCTCTGAGGATACGACCTGGGATGCCGTGTGGTCCTGCTGCTTTCCTGGTGTTCACTCTCTTGAAGGCTCTCCTTACTTCATGCTCGGAGATGACGAGCACGTTTCCGGTGCTGGCAGTATCTTCCTGTCTGCAGCCGTTAGCGCCGCTAACACTAGCATCGTTGGAGACCTTAGCTGCAGCCTCGAAGCGAGCATAGAAAGTGTTCAGCTCGTCTGCCAGAGTCACGGCCGCGTTCGTCATACCGGTTGTTGGTGCTTTATAGTCCGTTATTGTCCTTAGTCCCCGCCACAGGCTCCTAGAGTCACTCTGTTGGAGTTGTGACTCTAGTTTCCTCCCGTAGCGCTGCTTCGCCTCTTTCACCGCCCTCCGCACGTTATATGACGCGGCTTTGTATGGGTCCATGTCCCCCGTCATGAGTCCCGTGTTGTAGGCAGCGGTGCGGGATCTCAGAGCGTCGCGGATGGTTTTATCCACCCACGGCTTCTGGTTGGGAAACGTTGTGATAGTCTTTGTCTCCACGGTATCATCCGCTAGTTTCCCGATGAATCCCACAACCGCTTCCGTAAACACGTTGACGTCATCGTCGGAGCTGTTTCTGAACATGCCCCAGTCTGCGTCATCGAGTGCGTCCTGTAACGCGGCCACCGATTGATCCGTCCAGCGCGCGACCTTCCTCTGAACCGGAACTTCCTGTTTCAGCCTTTGTTTGTATTTTGGCATGAGGAAGATGGCGGCGTGATCAGATTTGCCAAACGGGGGGCGGGATTGTGCCTTGTAGCCGTCCTTGACCGTAGTCTAGCAGTGGTCCAGTGTCCTTCTTCCTCCAAACACAACGAGTTGAGTTTATACCAAAAAGTTCTACTTTGGTTTCATCTGACCACATGACATTCTCCCAATCCTCTGCTGTATCATCCATGTGCTCTCTGGCAAACTTCAGACGGGCCTGGACATGCACTGGCTTCAGCAGCGGAACACGTCTGGCACTGCGGGATTTGATTCCCTGCCGTTGTAGTGTGTTACTGATGGTGACCTTTGTTACTTTGGTCCCAGCTCTCTGCAGGTCATTCACCAGGTCCCCCCGTGTGGTTCTGGGATCTTTGCCCACCGTTCTCATGATCATTTTGACCCCACGGGATGAGATCTTGCGTGGAGCCCCAGATCGAGGGAGATTATCAGTGGTCTTGTATGTCTTCCATTTTCTGATGATTGCTCCCACAGTTGATTTTTTCACACCAAGCTGCTTGCCTATTGTAGATTCACTCTTCCCAGTCTGGTGCAGGTCTACAATACTTTTCCTGGTGTCCTTCGAAAGCTCTTTGGTCTTGGCCATGGCGGAGTTTGGAGTCTGACTGTTTGAGGCTGTGGACAGGTGTCTTTTATACAGATGATGAGTTCAAACAGGTGCCATTCATACAGGTAACGAGTGGGGGACAGAAAAGCTTCTTACAGAAGACGTTACAGGTCTGTGAGAGCCAGAGATTTTCCTTGTTTGAGGTGACCAAATACTTATTTTCCACCCTGATTTACGAATAAATTCTTTACAAATCCTACCATGTGGATTCATGGATATTTTTTTCACATTCTGTCTCTCACAGTTGAAGTGTACCTCTGGTGCAAATTACTGACCTCTGTCATCATTTTAAGTGGGGGAACTTGCACAATCGGTGGCTGACTAAATACTTTTTTGCCCCACTATACTTGTAGCTGGTAAGCAAACTGAAGGGGATCCTGATGTGGCCTGACAATAGGTCAGAGCTGGTCAAGGATAAGTCTTTCCAGTGTCTTCATGACATGGGAAGTTAGTACCACAGGTCTGAAATCCTGGGGGCCACTGGGACCCCAGTGTGTCTCATTCCCTGTGCGTCTTTGGCACAGGAATGAGGCATGATGTCTTCCACAGCAGTGGGACCCTCTGCATACTCAGACTCATCATGAACAGTTTATGAAGGACTCCACAAAGCTGGGTCTTGAAGACCCAGCTTTGTGGAGTCCGAGTGCTGGTCTTGAAGACACAGGGACTCACCCCATCTGGACCAGCAGATTTTGAGTGGAGTCTTCTCATTAGTCTCTGAACCCGGGCATGAGTGAAAGTGATAGGTGGGGGAGGGGTGTCAGAACTATTACAAGGGGCAATGGTGCCAGGTGGTAAGAGAGCGAGAAATAGTGGTGTAGCTGTGTATTACACGCTTACTAGAGGCAAGTCAGAAGGGTGGTGATCATTCATTGCAGTGATGAATCTGTTGAAAAACACATACAGCTCATTAGCTCTGTCCTCACCGCCCCCAGCTCCTCTGCTGTTAATTGGCCCGAATCCAGTGATTGCCTTCCACACCTTTCTCATGCTGTTCTGCTGGAGTTTCCAAACCAGCTTTCTCTTGTAATTGTCTTTAGCCTCTCTGATCTTGCCCTTCAATAACAAATGAACCATTCTGACCATTCATATACCTATCAGTTGATGTTCCTATACTTTGGGTCATACCACTACGGTTTGCTGTCATGGAAAGCTATCCGTCTTTAACATTAAATGGTTGGAATATTTAAAATTGTTTAAAAAAAGGAAAGAACCAAACCAACAAAACTAGCCTACTATGGCTAACTGGGTTAAACATTAGTTGCTTCAAAATCCAGCAGTGTTTTAGTCATTCATCATGTTTAATGTTAAGATAAGTTTTCAGTGTCTTCATGCTGTTGTGTTATCTCCTTGACAGGGTGGGGTAAATTTGCTCGTTTGACTCGTGCACTAACCAGCAGTCGAGGAGTTCTTCAGCAGCTTGCCCCAGCTGTCCATAAAGGAGAGAATGTTCATAAACATTCACGCCTGGCAGAGGTAACACCATTTCCCCTACAGTAAGGTCTTTTTTCTCCCTAATGAAAAAACAAACAAACAAAAAAAAAACACTGGGATGGGGTACTGCAAGGGTTGAGGAGGTGATTATGAGAATGTGTGCCAGGCACAGTAGCAGGAGGGCAGGCCACACAAAGGACACACATTAATACAGAAAACCAAACAGGGAACCCAGGAGTAAAAAGAGTTGTAGAAACATCTTTTGTCACACATCAGCCATGTATAGAAGATAGAGGATTATGAGCTCATTTTGTCAGTTTGCTGAAAAAATTATCTGAATTAAATTTGTAATAGTCACCATGCCAAAAATAGAGATAAATACATCTAAATAACAAGAAGAATTGTGCTAAGCTAAAAGGTTTGTTGCCCCAAAATAAGTTTTTAAAAATACTTTATCATGTTTGTTGAACTTCTACTAAGTCAGGTACTTCTGGATAATTGCTGAATGTTATGTCTTACTTACTATAGGACAGAAAATACTGTAAGATAGCTCAAATGTGCTGTTTAGCAAAGTATTTCAGTCTCAGGCTGGACAGTTTCAGGTAAAAACAAGTTGTACTATACTGCATCGCTTGTTCACATTATGGTAATATATTCTTTCTGCTTTTAAGCCCAGCCTAACTCTTTTGTGTGTGTGTGTGTGTGTGTGTGTGTGTGTGTGTGTGTGTGTGTGTGTGTGTGTGTGTGTGTGTGTGTGTGTGTGTGTGTGTGTGTGTGTGTGTGTGTGTGTGTGTGTGTGTGTGTGTTTTGCAGGTTCTGCAGCTCGGCTCAGATATCCTACCTCAGTACAAGCAGGAAACCCCAAAGACACCACCTCACATCATCCTGCACTACTGCCTCTTCAAGACCACATGGGACTGGGTTATCCTCATCCTCACCTTCTACACCGCCATCATGGTGCCCTACAATGTCTCCTTCAAGATGAAGCAGAACAACGTCACGTGGCTGGTGGTAGACAGCATTGTGGATGTCATCTTCCTCGTGGACATTGTCCTCAATTTCCACACTACGTTTGTTGGTCCAGCTGGAGAGGTTATCTCTGATCCCAAACTAATTCGCATGAACTATGTCAAAACCTGGTTTGTCATCGACCTCTTGTCCTGCTTGCCTTATGATGTTATCAACGCTTTTGAGAATGTGGATGAGGTTTGTAGGGATTTTTATTATAATTTATTTAAGATGAATGCTATGTTTTTACATCCTCTTTGTTCAGTCATGAGGTTGCAGTCATGATTGAACACTGGGTTCCTGTCACAGACCAGATTTAAAACTAATCAGTGTGTAGTACCTAAGATGAGCAGACTTAATAAGCTGTTCAGTGCAACTGAGTCTCTTGGAATTTGGGGATATTTTAGGGACATATGTTGATGATGTTTTAGATTGAAAATAACTACTGTGTTTAATTATCAATGAATCTATTATTCAGCTCCATTCAAATCCAAAGGCATTTGGTTGATTAAGACTTTCCATAATCATAACAGTATTAAATGATTATAAGTGATTTGTAACCTTTAGCAATTCAAATCACATTTGTTGAGAATGAGCTCTTGTTATGCAAATCTTTGAAACCAAAAAAATATAATTGGCTGATTTATGTCATGTTTGGGTTTGACCAGCAAATAGAACTCTTTAGAATTTGAATATTCTTTGGGTTAAGACTGGAAGTATTTAGCCTAGTCTAATTTTTGATTGAGGGAGAAACTGGAGTTTCTAGAGAAGACACGTGAAAGCACAGTGTATACAAAGCAAGATGTAATGTATTATCTTTATAACAAGTTTCCTATGTTATGCACAGGCCCTTAAACTTCAGCTTGTAGAATCAAAGCTCAAACATAGAGGTGGAAGTGTGATGATTTGGGTGTCCCTTGACTAAAAGAGATATGACAGAATTTTGCTGAGAAAACGCCTATGGGAGCAGCTATATTTTGACTTTTCGTAGAACAGAGTGCCGGCTTCCAACTCATATTCTTTTATTTGTGTTTTCTTTCAGCATTAATGTGAGAGTGCAGCTACAATGGATTTTTCATCTCAGAGACTCACTTTATTTTTTACTTCATGTGTTTTTAAGTCTTTGCAAACTGGCCTGAATTTTAATTTACTCAAGCAGTTTGCTACGAACCCAATTCCACAGAGGACTTGGGCTTATTTAATGCATAGTAACTTCTCAACAGAAAATATACATATAAAATGTAACAGTTATAAACTTCCAGTTTAACATAGGCTTACACACAGCTAACAAGTTGGTTACTCTTTTGAGACCTGCATATATGTGTCTTTCAGAAAGACATCAATGTTAAATACTATAGTTTAAATAATCTTTGGTAGTGAGGAACTAGTTTCTGTAATGCATCAAATTTCTGTGTGTCTATTTTTGATTTTTTGATAGCCAACTCTTCCTACACAGTCAGGAGTTGCGCATCCGAACTTGGCACATAAGTCCATTATAGGCCCTTGAAGACTCTGAAGACCATGTCACATATTATCTTGTCATTGTCCTGCATAAACTGTTCATGATGAGTCTGAGTATGCAGAGGGTCCCGCTGCTGTGGAAGACATCATGCCTCATTCCTGTCATTGCGTTGTTGACAATTGACAGGCAAGCGGGCTAACAGTTCCAAGGAATTCCCATCCTTACTTCTTATTCCCTTAGGTGGATTGGGCATGCAACCTTTTTCCTGCTCAGAACCATGGCCCCTATATTGGAGGAGTTAATTCTAATTCTTCACACGACATTGTAGAGGCATGTCAACCAAGGCAGCCCTACATCATCCAGGGCCATCTGGAAGTCAGGGTCTATTGCATCCACCCCAGGGGCCCTGCCACCAAGGAGTTAACAGCCTCAGTAACTTCGGCCCCACTGATAGGGAAGTCATCCCTGTCATTCCCACCCATATAGAAAAGAAATAGTAAAAACTTACATGATTTACTCATGAAAGTGGCCACTTTCTCATTACTTTCATATATTGTTTTAGTAAGTATCCAAAACATACAAGTTTCATTATATAATTTTTCACTCTTGTATGCTTTTCATACAAGTTTCACACAAGACAGATACAAACTTTATAAGATTTATATATATCTTTTCCATATGGGCAAACTTACCGTCTGAAATTTTAGTTCCGCACATCAAATAATTTTCAAGAAAATTTAGTTAAATCTGTGTATATTTGTCATTTTCAAAACCTGGATCACTTGAATCTCAAATCATCAGGTTTTTGGGGATGAATCTTCTAAAGGTGGGTTGGTTCCAAAGTGTGGGTAATCTTGACAGAGATAAAAGACAAACATAGAAAAGGCTGAAGGAACAGAATAGGAGCACACAGCTGGATTAACCTAAGGATATAAAAAACAGAAACTCAAAACTATAGACTTGAAATAACAATATCAAAGGAAATTTTACCAGGTGTAGGGAAAAAATAAACATAGACATATAAACATTAGGAAATGGCTGACAGCTCAATTCCAACAATACATAATCCTCTTTCAAATAAATAAAACTCTAGAAAGAACCAAAAACCCCAAAACTCATAACATAGACAGCCCCAACAGCAAGTGTGCCAGAAGTGTAAAAGGGTCAAAAAGCTATTATCCTATAAGGATCACCTTAGCCTTCATTTGCATCCACTCAAAGTCATCTACTGAGCATAAATATTTACTATATTGAAGAAGAAAGATGTGTAAAAGTATTGTGAGCTTACTTGGGAAAAGTGACGAGACAGAAATCTCAAATATGAACAGGAATTCATAAATACTGATGTATCACCCTGTTTCAGAAAATCATTTCTTCTGTTGACATTTGGGCATTTATTGAAGAGGAACAATGCACAGAACTCTATAAGCCTCAGCCTTAGGTAAGGTAAATAAATAAAAAAAATGGCAGTGGTGCCACTATCGAAACTTTGGGGCATTACTGGAGATTGACAATTCATCTCTTCTTCCACAACATCGCAGGATAAAATACTGTCCTTACTCAAGAGTACACTTTAGCTAACTTTCAGAAGAGTTGATTCTGTTAATCTGGACATAGTACTTTCAGTGTTTCCTTACTTATCCAAGCGACTTCTTCGGTTTTAGCTGAATGCAAGTTTCCCCAACCTTATAGAGAGTACATTTGTATGATTACTGAAACTAGCACCACTGACGAACGATGGGCTGTGAGGTCAGTTTCTTGATTATTAATATGCACATTGTCATGATTATTAATCAACAACCACTGATCATGACATGCCGTGAGTACCATTCACAGAGAGTTGGGGAATGGCTGCAATCTCAGCATTGCAATATAGTAAAAGATGTAACGTCCTCAATTCAGAGATAGTCTTTCCCCACTTCACGTAAATGGTCTCCTTGACTCCTTGCTCAAATTACTGTTCCTCCCTGTCCAGGATGCGTGTATCCTCATCTTGGAGTATACATGCATATGTATAAAGTTCCCCATTCGCACCTTCAAGCTCAGGTCCTCTACCAGAGGCCTGGGAGCTTGAGGGTCCTGCGCAGTATCTTAGTTGTTCCTAGGACTGCGCTCTTCTGGACAGAGATCTCCGGGACAGAGCTCGCCGATGTTGTTCCCGGGATCTGCTGGAGCCACTCGCCTAGCTTGGGAGTCACTGCACCTAGTGCTCCGATTACCACTGGGACCACCGTTACCTTCACCCTCCACATCCTCGCGAGCTCTTCTCTGAGCCCTTGGTATTTCTCGAGCTTCTCGTGTTCCTTCTTCCTGATGTTGCTGTCATTCGGAACCACTACATCGATCACTACGGCCGTCTTCTTCTGTTTGTCTACCACCACTATGTCTGCTTAGTTAGCCACCACCATTTTGTCTGTCTGTATCTGGAAGTCCCACAGGATCTTAGCTTGGTCATTCTTCATCACCCTTGGGAGCATCTCCCATTTTGACCTCGGGAGTTCCAGGTTGCTCAAGAAATGCTCTTTGCTCTTTTAAAGGGAGAGTACCTAGCCACTGGTACAGATATGTAGATGAAACCTGGGTCAAAATCAAAACACGAGAAGTGGAATCCTTCATTGCTCACATTAACGTAGTGGATAAAAACATCAAGTTCACCAGGGAAGACACAAAGGATAACTGTTTGCCTTTTCTGGACTGAAGAGAATGGAACCCTCAACATTGAAGTTTACCGGAAGCCCACACACACACGGACCAGTGCCTCCTCTTTGACTCCCACCACCCCCTGGAACACAAACTTGGAATAATCAGGACCCTACATCACCGGGCAGAGAATGTTCCCTCTAAGCCTGAAGGGAAAAAGAAGGAGCACACACATGTAAAGGAAGCGCTTAAAACATGCGGCTATCCTAGATGGGCTTTCATCAAGTCAGCAAAGAGGCACAGAAAAGAAGATCAGACACTAGGGAAGATAAGAAAGAAAAACGCAACAATATTGTCATCCCCTATGTAGCCGATGTATCTGAAACACTAAGAAGAGTCTTCTCCAAGCACGACATCCCAGTGTACTTCAGACCCCGTAACACACTCAGACAAAAACTGGTTAATCCCAAAGACAAAATTCCTAAACACAAGCTGTACAGAGTAGCGAGGAATGCCCAGACCTCTACATTGGAGAGACCAAACAGCTACTTCATAAACACATGGCACAACACAGAAGAGACACCTCCATGGGACAAGACTCGGCGGTCCATCTGCATCTAAAGGACAAGAGTCAGTCTTTTGAGGATGCCAATGTACACATATTTCGGACAGAGAAGACAGATGGTTTGAAAGAGGATTAAAAGAAGCCATTTATGTCTACTGTGAGCGAATGTCTTTGAGCAGTGGTTTACGGTGGTTTACGACACCATCTATAATTTTGAGATCCCTTCCCAAACGCCTTAATGCCCGTTTTGAGATCCCTTCCCAAACGCCTTAATGCCCTCTCCTGGGCCTCTAACCTCAGGAAATCACATGATAGAGTGGGGCTAGGTTTCACAACGAGCTCACCCAAAACCTTGGCTGATTATGACCTACACCCAGCTTCTCAGATGAGAGGTGAAACGTCTTCAAGCAACCTAAAGAAGTCCGAGAACGGTCATTGTAGTCTACGATGACAGAGAACCTGCACAGACAGGTAGGTGTACAGTTTCGCTAAACCAAAAAGACTATCATGAGAAAATTTTGTCACTGCTTA